AATTAAATAAAAATTAATGTGGTTTCTTTTAAGTGGTCTTTAAAATTTGGAATGCTTGTAGCTCAGTTAGAATAGGGTTCATTTGACATTTTTAACTTGGAATCACCCTAGCAACTCACTCCGAAGCTCATGTCGTGGGACATTCAGTTATATTTTGACACCCACTCCCAGAATTTATAAAAAGCGGTAGATGACAACTTTTTATATAAAAGTTTTTTTTAATTTTTATCATCTTTGGAACATGTCAGTAAAACCAATGGTCGCTGGCCATATTTTTACTCGGGATGAAAGTTCCTTGCATCCCGATTTCAAAAATACCTAGTTTGTCGATATAGCCGCTTTTGAAATAACAAGTTTATTATTTAAGAGTATAATTTAATAATCATCATCAACATGTCTTTAGAAAGGGTACTAACCAAAACTCATATTTTTTGTTGCGATATAAAAGATAGTTTCTACTCCATTTTCAAGCAAGTAAAAATGTCCCTATTACCTGTTTAGCGCTTTCCAAAATTACTGGTCCGATAAATTTACCAGCAAACATGCTGCACCAAATGTGAAGAGAACCCTACGCTTTGGTATGTTTACCCGCTATCGTTTTGCGGGTATTTTTAATGAGCACTAGTGAGGTTCGCTTCATCAGTAAAAATAATTCTGTTAAAAAATTGCATGTTAGTTTGAATTCTGTTGTGCCTAGTCCTATTGCAATTTCGTTGCCTTCGCAGTTGAGTAATTTCCTTCATTAGTATTTTTCTTATGTTCATTTTGTTGCGGATCACCTTTTTTGCAATATTAGTGCATTTGCGTGGTGGTGTTTATACTTTGTAAATAATTTTGTAATTCCGATTAAATGTAGCTGGTGTTCTCCTGCTCTATAATTGGGTTTGATCCTGTTGAGCAGTGTATGTCAATAAATAAATAAATAAAAGAAAATAAAGAAAAAGAACTAAAAAATTGTGAAGTTTTTTTTTGTACGTGCGTGTTAAAATGTAAATGAAAACCGGCATATTCTGTTTACTCCTCTCATATGGAAGCCGCGGCACCAGAGACGTTTCTCGGACGACACGAATTGGCTAACTGGAGTGCGATTCCGGTCGAGATTCTGCGCGCGCGGTATACGGTTTGGATATTGAAAAGCAACGTAAACTACATGATTACTCACCCAAATCCAGCGCGCCTAAAAATAAGCGTATACTCTCTTAAGAGCACGAACGGCGCTCTTTTTCAACAAGTCGTTTCATTATTTTCTCGCTTCCCCGTTTCTTTATTTCAAGGCTTTCGTAACGCGGTTTCGCTGCCCGACTAATTAGTATTGTTTGAAGGAGCGAAGCGAGCGAACGAAAACGACCAAAAGCCGTCAATGTTGTTGTTACGCTCGTCGTTTGTTCGTAGGGTACGTGATTAATGCCGTTTTGCGAATTTTTGCAGAACTTCGTAGAGGTGAGTCCGTATTATGCTCCGTTTCTTAATGCGAAAGCGTTATAAATCATTATTAAAACTTAACATTCAGAGTTGCAAAAATAGTTGAAATGTGTGGGTTTTCACTAGGATAAAAGAAAAGAGACTGTAATAAATGATGATGAAAAGATCGCCATCAGAAGAATAATAAATTCGTTTTACTTTAAAGAGGAAATCCTTATCCACCTACAGATAAGAAAAAAATGTGCAAAAAAGAAGCCGAAAACAGAAAATCACTTTTTCCTACTTCCGTCTGTAAAATACCTAATTACGCACCGATCTAGCGTGCGGGAAGTGTCACTTTTCCACGTCAGTTTTGTTTCCCACGGATTCGAGCCACTTCGGACATTTCCGGGATTTTACCGCACGGGTTTGGGAGCAATCGGATGTTTTCGGAGATATTTCCCACGCTTTGAATTTTGACGTTTGTCAATTCTGACGGACATGTCAAACACAAATTTATTTGTGCTGTTTTGCGAAAATGTACCCAAAAACACGGTTGTAGAAAAAGTATAATAGTATGCAACACGTTCGGTACTAGTATATTATGCAACATGTACGGTAAACGGCATTTGACTCGCGAGTTTGACACGAGCGGAGCGAGTTTTTAATAAAAGAGTGAGTTAAAAAATTTACCGAACGTGTTGCATACTATACTTTTTCTACGACCGTTATTTTTTGGGTACATTTTCGCAAAACAACACAAATACATTCGCCGACATGACCGTCAGAATTGATAAACATCAAAATTCAAAGCGTGGGAAATATATCCGATCGCTCCCGGAAATGTCCGAAGTGGCTCGGATCAGTGGGAAACGAAAATGACGTGGTAAAGTGACGCTTTCCGCACGCTAGGTCGGGGTGTAATTAGGTATTTTACTGACGGGAGTAGAAAAGCTTTTTAACTCACTCGTTTATTAAACACTCGTTCCGCTCGTGTCAAATAAACTCGTGCATCAAATGGCGTTTACCGCACTTGTTGCATAATATACTATTAACAGTGCAAGACGAAATTTTCTGCTGGCGACGACGGGGGGCAGTTAGACAGTTTTGAATTGTGAAACAGAAATATCTATTATCAAAAATGTAGGATATAGCGATGATGAAACAGCATGATAAAAATTTTAAAAGCGCCAGCTTTCATAAAGATGGTCCACTGAATGCACACTCGGGGGAAGGTAAAAAATTAATAATTACTCGCATTGGTAACAAAAATTGATGTCGGTGGTGGCTTACTAGCATTTCAATTAAAACGGCTAGTGACTGGACCACTTAAGAAAACCCGTCCTATTGGAGGCAAATGATATTCATTGACTTAATTTAATTAATTGACTTACTTTAATAATATGTAATTTCACAAAGATATGCTGAACAGGGAGCTACTCATCATCATCATTAGGCGCTATAAGCCTGAATGGATCTTGGCTGACTGGACAACGTTTTTTCCAATTAGCACGATTATTCTGGATCGTCCGAGTGGCCTTTTTCCCATTAGGACGTCCTTCTATACTATTTTTACATTTTTTTCGTCTGTGTTTCTCTTCATTTGCTTTGGCCATTGCGGAAGTTTCGCATCCATACGTTATTATTAGCCTGATAATTGTTATTTATATTTTAATTTTGTTGTTAAGTGAGTGAAGTGCGTATAGGCAGCAGTTTTCCGATTAAATTCTGCTTTTAGTTCCTCCGGAACTTGGTTATTGTGGCTCCAAGGTATTTAAAGTGTTTTACTCTTTCAAAGTTAAAGGTATCGATTGTTACGGTTTGCTCTATTGTATTTTTTCTTCATTGATCTTTAGTCTTACTTTGTTGTTTGCTCCTTCGATATTTCTGAAAAAGTCTTTTCTGTGGGACCTTTCATTGTTAGTAGTCCGGTTTCGCAGCTTTCTCTAGGACTGGGTTGAAAAGTAATGGGCGTCATCTTGCTTTAGTCCGTTGTGTATTTCGAAACTGCTGGATTGAAAACTCCGCCATGGCGTTCCAGATTTGGCTTCTCTCAAGTCTGTTATATGCCTATAAAGGCAGTGTCAGTAATCCGCTTTTTTTGTTGATGTGCAAGATAATGTTTTCCTTTCAAATTTCTGGTATTTTTTTTTGACGCCATATAAGAGTTATTAGTTTGTGAATCTCCTTGATATCTTTGGAAATCTGCGGGTTTCCTCAAAACAGGTTTCTTACTCTTTCCACTCTGCAGTTATTCTTCCTCATTGAGAATCACTCGAACTTGATGTTTTTTAAGTGCCGGAATGAACCTGGCTTTGTGACCCTACCCCTACCCTCCTCTCCATGCAGATTGACCTATAAAATTGTCTGGCGCCTGGTTTGAGATGATATCTTTGTATTGTTTCATACTTCCGTCTTTCGTATTATCTTTGTAGATGCTTGGTTTCCTTCTGGCATTTGCGTATTTCTCTCTGGTTTCGTTGGCGTGAAGTTGTCTCTTTCTTGCTGTTTGTCTTTGTTCTTCTCTCTCTATTTCTGCAGTTAGGGCGCTACTGGAGAAATCGCCTCGAAATGAAATAAAACGATATTTCGCCTTTCGCTATACCCCATTGGTTAGTTTAGCGATGTAGCACCACTTTTAAAATGAAGAACTTTGAAACTTTCTTGAAAGAGGGATTAAAAATGGATTCTGAAAAATTGAGTAAGTGATTGAAATAGAGGAAAGAATGTGGGAAACCGATAACCTGCTATGGAACACTGTGGACTCGGAATATGATAATATTTATTACATTATCTACTTTCATATTATTGTTGCTTGTATATAAGTTTTTATTTACTTGATTTTAGAATAATTAATATCTCAATTATTTTAAATATACTATTTGTAGCAACGCCTCTGCCTTCCTTGTTTGCAAATTAGTGTCACTCTCAATTTAGGACATGTGTGGGTCTTTAAACAGAAAGACGAGATTTATCGGAAACTGTTATTGCAATTTATATGGATTTTGCGATATAACCTTTAAGTTGTCCACGCTCCGTCATTCCAAATGTACATTTTATTACTAGCTCGCACTGAAATGTAGAGAATGTGGAGGAGTCAAAAATCAACGATTTAGATACTTTTAAACTCCGCTGTAACATTCTCTAACTAAGACAGGACGATCTGATATTTTGATCATATTAAGCTGGATAATTGTGCTGAACTTTTGACAACGCTGCGATAATATAAAGTACAGGACTGTTCTAGCTCTTTATGACTCTCTAAATTTTGTGGATGATGCTTGATTTTTTACTGTGGTGATATAAAAATTGGTTTTTTGCCGGCAAACATTTTGGATAACCTTTATTACTTACAAAGCAGTTATAGTAAAATTTGTGTAACATATGTAGTTACATATAATTCTGCGATTGCTGCGTAACTATTCTGTGAATAACAAAAAAACAAACAAAACAAATAGTGAAGTAAGTGGCCTGTACACTGGCTCAAAAATTCATGCAGAGTTGGTTTGCCGTACCCACAGCTTAGAAAGCTAATTTTGTGTGACAGAGATCTAAGCCGGCTTTGTATAGTTAGACCAAAGATGTTTGTGTTTTTTCAGTACCCAATGACGATCCTGCCCCCGTACGACACGGCCCGTAAGAAAGAGACAGCGTCGCCGGCGACTTTCAATGCGGAACGCGAGGCCTGTCTGCGGTGCTTCGAAAAATGGAGCCAAACCGATCAGGCCGAATTCGTGGAAAACTTGCTGGCGAGGATGTGCCACTACCAGCACGCCCACATCGACTCCTACCTGAAACCTATTCTGCAGAGAGATTTTATTGCTCTGTTGCCGAGTACGTACATATACGCATTCAATTACAATTCACACCCTTATTTCTATTCTCCGATTCTATACCGGATGTCCTGCGGAAATTATAGGAAAAACTTAAGGAATTTTTTCTGACGTCATCAATGTTGTTCAGGCTACCGATGTCACACCGATGACGCCACGCTCGTTTTAAATTTATTGAAATATGCACACAACAAAGAAATAAAATGACAAATCTCAATAAAACCCTGGTTAATCTAGACTTCTGTTGGCCAAGACGACGTCTTCTGTGGCGTCATTGATTCTCCTTTGAATGGCTGTATTCAGATATATCCAAGACAAAGTCGCTATCTTAATTTATCTTTAATTTCTCAGTATTCACCACCATGTTATGTTAAATACAACCCGATCGCAGAAAGGCTTGATTGAATGTCGGTTGTTGTTCTGTGAGTCATTAATTAAAAATTATTAAAGTTTTGCTTTTTATGTCAAAATGAATGGTTCTTTTTTGATATTATAATATGTAGGGGGTTACATTTACAATTCACTCACCACCTTACGCTTTTATGTACAAGATAACCAACATAACTTAAAATAACGTAACATAAACTTCAGCAGCAGCATAAAACAGCCTATTTGCAATTTTTTATGTAAAATAGTTGAAAGGTGAGCCAAAGTTCGATGTCTCAGCTGAATTGCAAGACAAGGAAAAATGATAAAAAAAAATTGAAAATTTGTGAAGAAAAAAATGTGCTACTTACTTCCGTTAATAAATAATAGGCGTATATTTTGTTATTATATTATATAATTCGCGATCATTTTGATTTTGAAATATAAAAAAACGACAGAAAACGGTTCAGTACAACGATGTTAAGGGTTTATGTATCTGCCAAAAATCAGTCCTTTTTTTTTTCTTATAATCATATGTGCGAACTTGCTACGTTTTCGAGATACAGGTTGCAAAATTTAGAAAAAATCGTTTCTTAAAGAGAGGGTTTTAAATCATTGAACTATAAAACCTATGCTGATTGTCAAGGGTCTCGAGAGTGGCAGGTCGACGGATGTTGGCGTATCTTCGCTTTAATGTGTTAAATTGGAATTATGATCACTATAATTTTTAATAATAAATAATCTAAATATTTTTTTGGTGAGAATCGGATTAGTAAAACTGAGATTTCTAATGATGGAACAAATATTATTGTCAATGTGTTCAAAGCATTTCGCAAACAAAACTCAACTTTCGATGTTGGAAAAATATTTGAAATGTGTTCGAAAGTGCGGTTTGACAGTCAATAATGTACAAACTCGGATAAACACTTTCCCATCCATTTTCAAATTATTCTTACATCTACATAAGTTAGAAGAAGTTAGAAGAATTAATATAACAATTATTTCTATAGTTATAGTCTTGTACAATTTGACAATTAAAATCGAATACAAGTATGCAGGGTCAGTTTTATGCAAACATTCAGGAGCATGCAGTTTTTTGATTTTTTTTCTCAGTGACACAGGTAGATGCAGAATCTTCAAAACGTCAGTGGCGTACCATGATTTTAGTTATAAATATCAATCACCCTTTCCGACTCTGTTTTTTCCTAAAAATCTGTATCTCGAAAACATATTTTCTTGGATGTGCCTTGAAAATCTTTGCATTGCATTTTGAGACACCCCGTATACTTGCCATCTGTAGTAGTCGTCCACTTATTACTTATAACCATATAGCTACTAGACATATAGAGGTCCTTTCTATGCCGCTAATATAGGAATTTTTGAAGGGCCGTCGAACAAGGTGGTCCAAATTCGATGGGCCTCTATGGCTTTAAGCATTTGCAGCATAGTTATCCCAAAACTAATATGCTTGGACTCGATTTTCGAAAGATGTCAAAAACTGGAAACCGCATCGTGATATGTCAAGACGTTTTTGAACTACAGGGTGATTCTCAAAAATGTGCGATTTTAAAGGCCTTCTATAACTTTTTTAACTGCAAGAGGAGTTTTGGGAAAAAACATTTTTTAAAGTTTTTTAAGTTGGAATCTCTCTATTTTACCCGTTTTGTCTTAGAGCCTTTAGTTCCCCAGATATAACTCGAAGTTATATTTTTCTAAAAATTAGTTTTCTAATAAAATTTCCCGCCGTACACCTATTTTTATTAAATACTTTAAAATTTAAAAGATGTTTCCAATTTTTGATATTTAGTAGTAAATCAGATTATTAAAAGCAATTTTTTTATTTAAAATTTTTATTAATTAAACTATGTAACACTTAAAATCTAAATCTAACAAGTTTCTTTAATTCTAAACGAAATGCTCAAATTGACAGCCGTTTTCTTGTAAACATATCCTACATCTTCTCTTGACGCTATTTTCTGCATTAAGAAGTTCTGCACGAAGCTGCCTGAATGGAGTCATACCTGTTGAATATTCCATCACTAGAAATCGTTGCTTTATCCGTCCAAATAACTTTCCTGGCAAATTCGGGGTCTTCTTGGCACATATTTAGGTACCACCTGCAAAGTGCACGTCTTGGAGCAATACGTCGCTGCCGTAATTGATGCACCAGTCGGGGTCGATAGGGCCTAAACTTGTGTTTTTTAAGAACCCGCACGGCGTTGCTGAGTGGAATCCCAGTGTTTCTCTCTATAGCCATGGTGGGAGTATTCGGATTGATTTCTATTTCTCCCAGAACCGTTAGTTCATCCAACTCTCTATTTCTGGCTAGGCTTCTATACATCCTAGGCCGCGGTTTTGTAAAGGATCCGTAGATGACGTTCTAACCTTACAAATATTTTTGAGCTAGGTTGTCTTTTTCCGGATATCTCTGGAAATATAGATTTAACGCCGTCTGTCGATTTTCATTACTTTCAATATAAAATTTTATCATGTCGTACTTTTCAAAGTTTTCAAACATTTTTATAGCTTGACCAAGACGCCACTTGCACGACAAAGCACAACCTACGATGGTAATGATTAAACATTACAGATATCTTTTTAAGTACTTAATAAAAATAGGTGTATGACAAATCGTTTGACAGGTAATTTTATTAGAAAAAAAATCTCTATCTTTACAAATAAAAAAGTTATTTTAGTTAGTTTTTAGAAACGCACATGATGCGGTTTTAAGTTTTCTACTTTTCTCCAAAATCGAGCCCGTAACATGCGTATTAGTTTTGGGCTAACTATGTTGCAAATGCTTAAAGCCATAGAGGCCCCTCGAGTTTGGACCACCTTGTCCATGCGCGATCATTTGAAATCTCGTTTTCAACGATTACGTCTTAGCGACGTTCAATAACCAACATGGCCACTGACAGTTCGTCAATTCGATAGGTTTCAGTTTAGGTGTTGCCTTTTTTACGGCTTCATTATCTGAAGAGACGCCCAGATCTCGTTAAATGTGCTGAGAAAACGAGTTAAGTGTGCGGAAATCGCTGTTTAGAAAGAAAATGGCGTAAAACGCAGATTAGGGGATGAAATTTAGAAGCATATCCAGAAGAAAATATCATAGCATCTCAATTTTTACCATACTGAGGTCACTACATTATCTAATAGCTATATGCATATGGCTCCTTCGATATAGCGCTATTTATTCTTGCGCTTTTGCAGAAAAAGGTTTGGACCACGTGGGGGAAAACATATTGTCTTACTTGGACGCCGACAGTTTGCGTAATGCAGAACTGGTCTCGAAGGAATGGTTCCGCGTAATCTCGGAAGGCATGCTCTGGAAAAAACTCATAGAGAGGAAAGTCAGAACCGACTCGTTGTGGCGGGGTTTGGCGGAGAGACGCGGATGGTGAGCTTTCGCGATTGCGGATCACTCGGGATTGTCGTTACAGCAGCTTCGTTTCAGGATACAGTATTTGTTCAAGCCGCGGCCGGGCGAAAACCACCGACCGCACGGTTTCTACAGGTACCTCTATCCGAAAATCATCAGGGACATCGACAGTATAGAGAGCAACTGGCGCAACGGCAACCACATCCTACAGCGGATCAATTGCCGATCGGAGAACAGCAAGGGGGTGTACTGTTTGCAATACGACGACCAGAAAATCGTGTCAGGCCTGCGGGACAACACGATCAAGATCTGGGATAGGAGCACGCTGCAGTGCACCAAGGTGAGCGAGGCATTTCCATTCAAAATAACCAAATCGATAGATAATTAAGGATAGGGGCAAATACATCAATCAATATTCATAAAAAAAGTGCTGATAATCGTGTTCAACCTTTAGCTAGTATTTACAATTCATATGAGTCGCAAAAAAAAGATGGTGTACATCTATGTGGATGGCCAATTTCAGGTTGACACTGTGTACACTGGCTTCTATATCTTTAAATATGTCACCAAAGATTTGGTTCGTTAGAAAAATTTTATCTTACCAAGATCGACGGTTCCCAGAACCCGCAACAGTGCATTTACTATATTACATTGTATTATTACATTTGCTAGTATTGAATTATCACTGTTCATTCGTGCCTATGATATAAATATCAGCTTTTTCACATTTTCCTCCATTCGATTCTATTCCTTGCTACATTTCTGCAATTAGTAATTCTTCTCTCTCTTTAATCTTCCTCCGCGGCTTCTCTCCAACTTTTCCTTGGTCTACCACGCTTCCTCCTCTTCTCTGTTTTTTTTTCATGCCACTTCCTTTACTTCTCTATTTCCATCCTGGTGAGGTGCCCTAGCCATTGTAGTCTCCTGGCTTGAACAAAATTTTCGATTGGTTTATCTCCAAATTGTGCGTAGAGTTCACCGTTCATCCTTCTCTCCCAGCAATGCACTGTATTCTTCCCGCATCAGATTTGTCTCAATACTTCCATTTCTTGTATACTTACTTTCTGTTGGTTTTTTTGATTGAGGGCACATGTCGTACAACAGTAAGTTAAAGTTGATCGGACCGCTGTCTTGCAGAGTCTGATTTTTAAATCTTGTGGAGCCTCCGCAGACAATTGTTACATTTAGCTATTCGTAGATCCACTCGGAGCCCAAAATTTTCTGCCGTTCTTATAAGTTGTTTGGTGGTATTTTCTAGCTCAGTTCTACTTCTTGTCAACATCGTCCGCGTATTCTAGGCGCTGGTGCCTTTTTTGGAACAATGTGCCCTGTCTGTTGATCCCACTTTTTCTTATTTTTTCCTCCAGCGTCAAATTGAACAAGGTTGTTGTTAGTGGGTCCCCTTGTGTTAATCCTTTGCCTATATTAAAGGTGTTACTTCGGCTTCCTTTATACTTTACTGCAGTTTTTTTTTAGTGTTGGTTTTATTATTTTCAATAGTTTTGATGGTATCTTAAGGTTGTTTAAAGCTTCTATTAATTTTGCTCGTTGAAATCTACAAAACGCATAAATATTTTGTTCATTTGTTCATTAAAACTTACTTTAACATGAAGACCTGATCTGTTGATCTATTTTTTTGTTAATCCTCCTCATAACTCGGTTCGGTTCCTTAATACTGTTGACAGTACTTTATATGTGACATCTAGAAGCACATAGCCTTATAATTTTTGCAATCTATTTTATCCCCTTTTTCAAAAATTGGTATTATTATTACCTTGCTCGAATCCGTTGGCATCACTTCTGTTTTCCAGACCTCTTTTATAAGTTCTGTTATTTGCGTTTGTAGAAATTCTCCTTTATGCTTTAAATTTTCCGCTACAATATTATCGGACCGGACTTTTATGGTTTTTCAGCTTTTTTATAATGGCTGGAATTTCTTCATTGGTAGGCTCGGTAGTTATATTATCAGTATGTTTTTGCGAGGGGTGCTGTCAATTTTATTCTCCAGTAATTCATAGAATGTCTTTCTCCTTCTCTTCCTTTTCCTCCATTACTTTTTACCTGCAGAATGCAAAATAAGTCTGATGTTGCCTCAAAACCATTTATATCGTTTTTTTTTTTTTTTTTTTTAGTACGCTGCGTGTGTCCAACTATCGAGTTAAAATTTGGCAGAAATTTAGAGTTCGATCTCCAGATGGAACTTATTGAAACTAGGCGGGATCGGAAGGTCTGAAAAATTAAAAAAAAAAGATTTTTTTTTTCGGGACCGAAAAGATTTTTTTGCTCGAAAACGGTCCGAACGAAAAAATTCTTGGGCCTGAGAAGACGCGTGAGATTTGGGCCAATAACCCAGAAAAACGGTTGACCCAAAAATATACAGGGTTTCCTGGTTTTGAGCAAACAACTGAAAATTGTGATTTTTCGAAGTAAATTATTGGCCTTAACTGAAAAACCGTGACAAACGGCGGTATTTGGTTTGATCGGTCTTTTAGGTCACCTCGAGAGCTACAATTCTTGCATTTACTGTTTTCGTCTTTCATACAGGGTGCGCCCGATACGGACCAGCAACAGTTTGATTAAAATTATTACTTTTTCGCCGTAGGGGATGAGTCAATTTGTGTTTAAGGGTTGTGTAGACGGTCACTAAGGCTACCATTTTTTGTCGTTACCGCTTTGACATATTGCAGAAAGTGAGGTCTATATTAGAAGAAAACTCTATGCTTAAAGCGACAATACCGGCAATAAATAGCTTGTATATACAACTAATCGATAATTCGGCACACATTACGTAGCTCGGTGTTTAGGGTATCGGATGCGACACAGAAGGTCTCGCGTTCATTGCAGGTCAATTTTTTTTCTCTTTAAATATATTGAATTTTATTATATTCTTTCGTCGTGACTTCTTAAATTTGAAAATTATTGTAACTAACGTTTTTTTAAGATAAGAATTATAAACATTTTTCAGTTATTTCTTTCTGAAAGTAATACGCACATTGACTGTTCGGTTTTCGGAGAACGAAATAAAAGAACTTGGTTTCCGTGCATAAGAATTTTCCAATTTATGTTTTAGATATATTTGAACAAATGCAGCGTTGCCAATTCTACAGCCCCCTAAATTTTAAATAACTTTTGTTAATATTTACTATAAATAATTCCTGCGATAATCGTAAAAAATATTTTTAGATTTACGCATGTGACAAAGCTAAAAGTTATTTTATTCTTCTTGAGTGTAAAAAATTCTCATGATTTAGTATAATTGGCAGATAGATTATACAGGATGTCCCGAGAATGTGAGAAACTAGCCTTTAGGCCAGTCCGGCTCTCGGAAAGGTTTCATCCGGCCCGTTTCAGAGTGCCATATATTGACCATATACTTAATATTGTTGTATTGTTGTTGTTATTACATTATTATAAAAGTTCGTTGGTTAAGTGGCGGAAAAGTATTTGAAAGAATTTGGGATTTCAATGACGATATTGTGAATTTTCTTCTCGATAAAAACTTAATCTCAAATTGCAAGGGAAAAATCAGTTTCTTCACGATACCTGAAGAGTTTCAAATTACAGTTATTATTATTTGCTAATCAGGTCTCCAAATATGATTTTTCTCATTTTGCAAGAATACAATCTTTAAAATTCACTATATCAAACAATAAGGTTAAAAAATACGAAATTAATTTGAGAAAACTATCTTCAGAATTTGAAAGGAGATTTCAGGACTTTATAAAAATGGAACCAGAGTTTTGTATTTTTGATACCCCATTCAATGTTAATTACGAAGAAGCTGACGCAAAATTTCAACTTGGGTTAATTGTACTGAACTGTAATACTCTCCTGAAACAAACTTTTCTTACAGTACCATTACTAGAATTTTATTAAGTGCAGATAATTTCCCAAATCTAATTATTCGTTCAATGAAGATAATGACAATGTTCGGCTCATCTTATATATGTGAACAAATCTTTCAAATAATGAAGCTTAGAAAAGCTCTTTTAAGAAACAAAATTACAGATGAGCACCTTTCATCATTTTTGAGAATTTCTGCTTCGCAAATGGAACCGGACTATGATGAGATTTTGATAAAACAGTAGCAAATTCATTTTTCTCATGCACCCTCAACCAGTAATGACAAAAATTCATTTTATATTTTGTGCTTATAGTTTTCTTACCTTTTGCTTTTTTACTATCAAAATAATAAGTGTATGTAATAATATATGTATATGTTTATAAAAAATAAAATAAAAAATAAAATAAATAAATTTTTTAACGATCAAGCATTATTCGTTGGCCCGCTACGATCGTCTATTTATTACAAATAGTCTTAAAAAAAAGTTTACCCACCACTGCTCTAAGCGGTCTATGGCTTCTCGAAAGTTCCGTAATGGTCCGCGAGAGCATGATAGAAAAACAGTGCGCCCCTCTAGGGATTGTTTTTGTATACACTGTCGAATTGATTCCGAGATCTTGTTTTATCCGATTTGCACCCAACAAAATCTCGGCATCAGGGTGGGATCCCGGTTTACTAATTATGTCATTAAAGTAACACCCATGGTAATTGACAGTTGTCACGTTTCCAGGTACTTATCGGACACACGGGCTCGGTTCTGTGCCTGCAATATGACGACAAGGTTATCATAAGTGGTAGCAGCGACAGTACCGTGAGGGTGTGGAACGTAAACACCGGCGAAATGGTCAACGCACTAATTCACCATTGCGAGGCTGTGCTACATCTTAGGTTCAATAATGGCATGATGGTTACGTGTTCTAAGGTAACCAATACGAGTTTTTTGCCTTTGTCAACGACTTGACCGTTTGTGGGTGTCGTTTCAGGACCGTTCGATAGCCGTGTGGGACATGACCTCTCCGGGGGAGATTGCCCTACGGCGGGTCCTGGTGGGGCACAGGGCGGCGGTGAACGTGGTAGACTTTGACGAGAAATATATAGTGTCCGCCAGCGGTGATAGAACCATAAAAGTGTGGAACACTTCGACGTGTGAGTTTGTGAGGACTTTGAACGGACACAAACGTGGGATCGCGTGTTTGCAATATCGCGATAGGTTGGTTGTGAGTGGTAGTTCGGACAACACTATCAGGTAAGTTTGGGCAGGCCAAAGTCCAAATTAGGTAAATTCCTTCTTTATGAAAGAAACGAGTTTACCGTTTTTAAATTAATTTAAATGTAAAATTCCACAATCTTACAGTTAGCATGTGATATGTTCCTACAAACAGAATGTAAAATATAACTTTCCAAATTAGGATTTAAATCAGTGAAAAAAAAAAGTTATTGCATGGATCTTAACCTTTATTATTTTACATAAAAAGAAATAGCACTAAGCACAAAATATATAAATATGATTATGTATAGAGTGGGCCGTTTATATTGGGATACTACCTTATCCCAGAAACTATAAGGAATGGAGCAAAAAATTAATTACAAAAGTTAATTGAGGTATTACAAACCTTTAATTTTGTATGTATAAACAGGGTGTTTTATTTTTCGTGGGCGAGTCTCGACTTTCTTATTATAAATGGAACACCTGATATACCCACTCCATTTTTGAATTCTATACATCACAAATAATATGCTGTTGTTATATAAGTTTGGTTAGTGTAAGGTGGCTACGGTGTTTGAACAAAGGGTGACGGGTTTCGAAATACATAATGGCATTTCCAACAGATTCAGTCCCATTTAAATACCGGATACTTAATTCCTCGGCAGTTGACGGTTTGTATTTGTAAAGTAAATCTTTAAGTGTAGCCCATAGAAAAAAATGTAGTGGAGTTAAATCGCTGCTCCTTGGAGACCAGGAGTAACTAATATTCTCTCGAATCCATTTCGTCGTTCCCTTTCAAGCGCTTCATTTTGAACAAAGGGATGGATAATACTTAAAAGCTCTAAGTAGTGTTGGGAATTTAAATTTTATCATTTTGAACTTCCAAATGGCGCACCATACTTTGACAGAAGTTCTACCTGATCTTGTAACTTCGATGTTTTTTTATTATTCTCGTTGTTCCAGTAATGGGCATTTTTCCAATGAAAAATTTTAGTCGAGCTTGTAAATATATTTTCTGAATAGTGTTTCTCCCGAAGATTGTTGCAAAAATCTAACCTGATGTTGTAATCCCGTTGCTCTAATTTCTGCACTGCACCGAATTTAAAGGACTTCCAATTGTGTATTTGAAAGCGCATTCCGAGCGTTGTTCTTTTGACATCAAGACGCATTTCGGGTTTAATCTTCAGGGGTCTCTGCAAAATGCAACAAAATATATAAGTTGCTTTTCATCATTCAAAACATGGCAACGTCTATTTTTTCTTTCTTCAAGGTTCCATATATTCTAAAGTGTTGATATATGCATAAATGGAGATTTTGTTATATAATCCCCCTGTTTTTACTGTTCGATATGTAACTTTCTAACATATCAATCTTTTTCTCTGTGGTAAACATGATACGCAAGTAAGCGAATAAATTGAATTTATAAACGATAAATAAATAAATCATTTGAATTATGACAGTAATCAACAACAAAACACGATTTTTAGCAGACAACGTTCTAGTACTTGTGTTGTTTAAAGGCCGTTCTAGCCACTTTACACTAACTGAACCTATATGACAACAGCATATTATTTGTGATAGACAAATGTTTAAAAGAAAATATTTAAAAAGTAAAAATATTAGGGATATTAGGATACAATTTTTAATGCTAAATGTGATAAGAGTATAAAATAGTATAAAATAGGTAGTTTCCATTAACAAAAAAAAGTTTTTTGGCAGTTTTTTTAATTTCATTTTTAATCTTGTTTTTCGCGTACTCTGTATTAATATGTATCGAAATTGCTTATGAGATCCATTATTCGAGTCCTTTGTATACAACAAAACGGAAACAAGTGCAACAATAAATGCTTCCGAATGAAGAAATTGGCGGATATATCTTGCAAACATTATTTTTCCCATAAAAAATTAAAAATGTCAAAAATGGTTAGACTTTGGCATACGACATTGTACACAAAATATGTCTACAATTTTATATCAGAATTCAAAAGTCAAATAATATACCAGATGTTCCATTTAAAATAAGAAAGTTGATACTCGTCCATGAAAAATGGATCATCCTGTATATACAACATTAAAATAAATTGAAGGTTTATAGTACCCCAATTAACTTTTGTATATACAATTGTGATGTCAAATATGACTAATATTTAGTAAAAACTCACATCATATTAGCGAACAGGGAACCGGTGTTGCTTTAATGCCTGTTTTTTCTTGCAATAGTACATCCAAAACATAAAATTTGGTTTAACGATTAACCCTTTCTAACCATAACGTGAATGAATTTGGAGAGTTAATTTGGAAAACAATGACTCTTGCTGATCCGATTTTAGTATTCGGCTACACGGTACGCTGCATTGAATGTAGTTTTAAACGAAATATCATTACTTATATTTTCTGTCCCATAAAAAATGGTAATATTTAAAGAATAATATAATAACTTTTCACAAATACCAGAGAAAAATTTTCCAAAATCACAAAATAAGCGTCATACTCAAAAACAAGGTGAATAAATCATGGAGGCTGTTGGTTCATAGTGCAGCCATCTTGGGCTGCAAAATTGATTAGCCATATCCCATCTCAATCTTTGTCTCATTTTTTAATTGCCCAAATTAAGAAAAAGCCGATAAGTATTTATTAGATAAAACATGATATATAGCTCTGGATAATCAACTTAAGTTTTTGTTGTCGAGCAAGTTATTAAAAATATGAAGATATGATATTTTCTTCAACTATTTTATGATGTCTGATTAAAAGAAATACAATAATACATGTATATTTTTATTGAAAGATTTAAAATGATTATATTTTATTTGATACATCTACAATGTTGACAAACTTCGGCAGATACTTGATCATTTTTCATTTATAATTATTGACAGTCAGTAAGTAAGGAAGTACGTCTTATATAATATGTACATAAGTAAATACTTCCACATAGACGTGGTCTGAAAAAATTTGCACCTCTATAAGGTGTTCAATTCCTTTACAAATATGTTACTTTTTTTAAGTTGAATGTGAAGTGTGGTAACAGCAACAGCGATGAAATTTCATAATTTTATATTTTTTACGTCATAAAAGTGTTTTCGGGATAAAAAAATAAAAATGGAGACGTGTATGGGCGTAATTAATATACGTAATATGCAAGTGCAAAAAAAAAATTAAAATTAACTTGTGAACAAGTGTTGCACGCAAACGGTTCAAAGTAGGCATGGTACAATTTTCATGTTACAATAAAATGCCAAATGTGCCTAATTTTGTATAAAATCTTTACGCAGTAACTTTTTGTCATCATATGCAGCGCGAACCAAAATTTTGACCTTTGCAGCTAAAAAAATACGTTCGAATTTTTTCTTGAATCTCAAAATATTCAGGATATTCCATTAACAAAATGAAATGATATCTTATTCGAATGTGTACCTCCCGGCGTTGGGTCAATTTTGCCCATGGTTATCCATCCATTCGACTCGGGTACCCGTAAATAATATACAGAAATTGAGTCATCAAAAATCGACCCCAGTTCTTTGATATCACATTATCATTAACATTAATATTAATAATGAAATTTGTATGTGTATATGTATGTGTGTGTATGTGATTAGTTTCTGCTTTTTCAAATTATCTTCAAATGCAAGTTGGAGCTCATCCTAACACTACTGCTTAACATCAAATACTAATACGATAAACTAAACAAATATAGAGGCGTTAGTGTAAATATGGTTTAATTACCCTGTCATTAAAATGTCCCTTTACTCCCACATAAAGGCAATATATCAGACAAAATGATAAATTGTCTAGTTTGGTCTCTCTGATGATTATATAAATTTACAAGTTCCACTAGCTCCTTCTTCAGCACATTTTTCTGCTAAAACTGCTTCTTATTTAAAGTAAGCCATCCATGCCATTTTTTCCCCTAGAAGACGTGTTTTTTTTCTTATTTTTGTTCGATATTATTGCTCATTTACCCAAGACGAGCTCATACGTGAACATAATCTCAGAAAAGATCAAACATATAGCAAAACAATACGAAGTTAAGACTATTCAAACTTACAAAAATAAAGTCAAAAACATCGACTTAATCTACTAAATAGCCTGTAAATGCTGAGTGTCAAATATTGGACGAATAAAGACATTTAAATGTTAGAGCTGAGTTAAGCACACAGGAAACACTCAATGACGGGTGAAATGTAAAGGTCAGGAATGGCGGAACAGGTATGGACCAAACAACTCCACATAAAATGGTCCGAATCTCGGACGGTCCACAAGGCATTGGAAAAAGCGCAAATTTAAGGAAGCCCACCAACGGCGGCGTCCCAGCGGATTAACGTCACCCATGACTGCACCCGTTGAACGCTGTAGTCTAGTATAATACCACCAAAAATATAGTGCATTTATTGCTTTCACGTTTTAAGTATCTTACAGTACCTTAACTGCAGAACAGTGGTAAATTCCATTGCAACAGACGTTTATTCTGCATATAAGTAGGTCTCGCCTGAGATGGACCGTAACGAATATTTGTAGAAACTTGAAATGTCTAATTTAAACGTAAATGAACCGTTTTAAATTTGATTAAGCATTGATGCTGCGGGGTAGAAGCGTTTATTTTAACATCAGGTGATATGTATTGTTCTTAAGAGTTTAATCTAAATTGTTGTTATATATTATGAAGGTATTTGACTGTGATCCTTCCAGTAAGTACGTATTTATGTACTTAGCTATGGTCCCGCGAAGCTGTTTTCACCGGATAGTTCAAAGTAAGTACCTGTACTCTATTTATCTTACAGGTAAGATCGAAAATAATCATTTTTGTCTTGTGTGCCTGTCGATTAACAACATTCTTCATTTTGTATTTTTGTGCCTTCTACATAGTTCTTCGATTTGTAAATAACAACAGACTTTTTTTAAGGCTATAGGTTATATTCGCTGTAGATAAAAGTACGTGATAAGAATACAGATAAATATTAATTAGAATCTTACAATTAAACATTTTTTGAAGGTTCCTGTTTTTCAACACTTTAAAATGTGGAGACCGTGGAATGAAGCAGATGTTCCCCTGTGGAAAACAACGCAGAATTCGAAGATGAAGTGGAGATGGTAGTCGAACCTAATGACCATTTAGAAGACGAATTACCTCAGCAAATAAAAAAACGGATCCATTTGTCTTCGGAAGCTAAACAAATTGTTTTGAATGTTTACAATTTTATAAGAAATTCAGAAGTAGCAGTAGCAATAAAAACTGGTCACATAGAACGTAATAAATTGTTACTTTGTACTAATTTTATTATGTACATGTTTCAAGAATTGTTCGGCGAAAATGATTGAAAACATACTTATATTCCGTTTGTTAGTGTAGTAGTTAGTTGTAGCGGTTTTGGATTAATAAACAGTAGGCAAAGTTAATTACGGGGTCGATTGTAAATGCACTATATTTCTGGTCGAATTATATATGTCTCGTAGTTTTAGTTGTGTTGTGCAAAGAAAAAATAAATAAAATGACAATCTCTCAGTATTTCTAATTTAAGCAAAAGTTAGATATTCCTGTTTTCCCTTTGATCCAGTCTATATGTTCTCAAATGTCACCGTGTTTGGGAATCGAAAATTCATTTTCTTGGAACTTTTCCATAATTACCCATTTTATTACTGTCTGAAATCGCCCAATAGCCCTTGGTAAATCCGTTTATGGTGTCGATTCCTTGTAGGTTATGGGACATCGAATGCGGCGCCTGCCTCCGTACCCTCGAAGGGCACGAGGAGCTGGTAAGGTGCATCCGCTTCGACAGCAAGCGGATAGTGAGCGGAGCGTACGACGGCAAAATCAAAGTGTGGGACTTGCTTGCGGCGTTGGATCCCCGCGCCCCGACCAACACTTTGTGTCTGCGCACTTTGGTGGTAGGTGGGCGGGTACCCCGCGTTACTAGATCAATAACGCCCCTTGTCGTTTCCAGGAGCACACGGGTAGGGTATTCAGGCTGCAATTCGACGAGTTCCAGATAGTGAGCAGTTCGCACGACGACACGATCCTCATATGGGACTTCCTGAAATCGATACCGGAGGTGACGAGCGGCTCGTCGCCGACGACCATGTCACGTGAGTGCATGAGCGATACCTTGCTAGGGTGATTTCGCCACGTTCCTACGCAACAAACGCGCTAGCGGTGCCGAAACACGTCGTCGCAATCTTGTTCAGTTCCCGCAACCGTTTCGAGCGAATAATGAGAACCGGGTGTGTTGTGAAAACGAAAAAAAAAAACGGTGATACAATGATCTGCCGCCCGCGTTGCCGCGTTTAAAGGGGTCGACGCGTTCACGAAGTAGGCTGCGATGTCTAAAACGAATTAGTTAAGGCGGACCTCTGTACATAGTTTTAGTTTTAAGAGTACGTTAGGTTGGAGGTGGGTGCGTGCGTTTGCGTGTGCCATGGCGATATCGGAACGTGGGGCTTCGGTGTCACGCGTAATTTCCGCTACCCTCCTAACTTGCGCACGGGGCCCAAACTTGAAAAGGTTAAGGATGACTTTTTTTTTTTTATCATAAAATTATCAAACCACTCTAGATATTTCAGTGATATGTTGCACGTTGCTTCCAACCAGAGAAATATTTTTTAACAATTAGCAATTACGTCGGACACAGATTTATTGGAAATATTTTTTTTTTAAGAAAAAAAAATTGCTTCAAATAAAAATTGTCCTTTTTTAAAAAATTGTTATTGGTGTCTGGTTTAGGAAAAAAAGTGTATTGATCAAGTTGGACGGCGATTTGAAAAATATTTTTTTTTGTTTCAGAAGAATACTCACAAATTAGTTTACGCAATGTCAAAGAAATTAATATCGGGAGTGGCTTTAAAATCATAATACTCGACGTGGAATATGACATAAAAATTTGATCCATTAATTTCCATGTATAATTTCGATTTAGTTAGGCTGCAGGTGAAATGTCGGAAATTAATATAGTCTAGGTATGGAAAGTATATTAAAAAATTTTTCCCAGATTGCAAGAGCGTTTTTTTTTTGTTAATTACTCCTCAACAAGTACATATTTTTCTTTGAGACGTTTTTATGAAAAAGCAATTATCTGCATGTAAAGTACGTTCTAAAACTACACTGTACTACATAGTATTAACCAAAATGTTCAAATATGTTTTTAGAAAATTGTTGCACTCAATTGGGGGTAAAATAAAATATTATATTTGAAATAAAAATAATCTGTAATTCGCAAATATTACTCACGTCCGTGGAGGTTAACTAATTTATTTAATATCGCAAAAAACTGTTAACATTCAGCAGTTTGATAAATGGACGAAATCATAATCAATAAATAGTTACAAATTAATTACATTTTTTTATATTAACGAAATTTTTTACAATTATCTCAGTAATTGTCTCTCCTCGCAGTTAATTAGCTGATACATTTTGTAAATTTGATTTAATTTCTGACATCACCCTGTATAATTTGAAATTATTTATTAAAGTTTAAAATATCCATCTCTATAGGAAACTGAACGCATACGTGATAGTTACACATTATAAAACTTCCTTGAAAAATTACTCTTTATTGTTTAACTTTCCTTTTTTCGAAAATCGAATCTCGGTAAGCAGACGGGTGATGTTACATGAGACACTGGGAGGTGGGAAACTTTGGGACAAACTGTAATAATCCCATGGCACACGAGCGATTTGAATATTTAACTTTTAATTCTCGCAATTGAATTTTCTTTGATTAAAAATGTCCCTAAAGTGTTATCGATATGAAATTTTAGGGGCCGAACTGATGGGGTGTTCTATTATATTTTTGTATTACGTCGACGAGTGTTGGGCAGAATACGGCGAAATTTAAATTTGCAGTGGCAAAATAATCTTAGTAGGCCTTGGGCACCGTTGGAAGGTGAGAAAGAGAGCACAAGTGGATTTGTTTAAAATGCCTCTTAAAGTAATTTTGCCGCACTTCGAAGTGAATTCAATAAACAATTATCCTTGAATTTATATCGTCGTTACTCCTATTTTTCACACTTTGGATTGAATAATTTTTATTATAATGAATGCTTAACCTCTTAAGTAACACTTCGACGTATCTTTGAAGGTGAAAGAAACGTCATGGCACAATGGGCAAGCCAACTAACCAAGACAAAAAAAAAACGGGTTTATTATGCATTAATTTTGAAAAATTGAAAACTTTTTATGGTAAATTATATATTCCAGTACCATATTCTGCTCATAACTTGTTCGATTTTGATGTAGACATTACTTATTAATTTGTAAGATTTGTAACTCGCGCACCATGTAGAATTAATTGTTAAGCACTTTTTTTTTCAGTTAATAAACAAAAGCTTCGAAAATGCAATTGGTTTACAATATATGGTCATTCTTGTTGCTTGGAAGAAACCGTTTTAAATATACAGTGGTTTTGTTAACCGGTAACCTAACCCTTAAATTTCAGCATTATGTGATTCATTGAATCAGCTTTCTAGGGCTATGTAACCTAAATCTATGGCCAGATGATCGTGTTAGTCGTTCAAAATATTGGGAATCCAGTTCTTGAATTTCTGAGAAGAGAGCAGCTTGACAATGTTTTAAATAAGTATAATTTCTTAATTTTCGATTGCACCAAATGTGCGTTTTTTAATGATAAATATTTTTGTCAATACCAGGCTGCTGCGGAAGTAAACGAAACAGTAAGTCGAAAGTTTTTTTTCTCAAAATATTATTTTATCTGAAATAAGTGAATCATAATTTTGTCTAAAACAATTGGCTTGATAACGATTACTCTGCTACTGTAAATAGCTTTGTATCGGTTTCAACGATGCTAACATTTTTCGGGTTTTACTGGTTGTTTTGTGTATAATCTTTATTAAAGATGTTAGATTGAATACCATTTCTTTTCACAAGTCCATATTTATTTAAAAATACTTGTAAAACAATCATGTAATAATAAAATTTTAAAATCTAAATCTACAAATCTAATTCTGTCAAGTGCAGTGTAACAATCTCTTCTCTATTAACCCGGAATTGAAACACTCTGTATATTTAAACCTTAATTCAAGTATTTGTACAATATAACAATCTGTACAGAACTGCTTTATCAGCTTGACCTAGAGGTCTACAGGATAACCTAATGTCAGGGTCCTCTTGAGCGTCGAGCCTTTGCCAAAAAGAAAGTTGTGTAGTCTATGAGAAACTTATAACTAGTTCAATAAAAGTGCTTTGTGATAAAACAAATGGTGAAAAAGTCCAATCAAAAACTGCGTATGAATGTTTCTTTTTTGTTTTCAAATAGCCTACTCCTTTCCTGTGTGACTACTTTTTTTTATGTATTAATTTGTAATTATCACTTAAAGAAAGCTGTATATATATTTTACGTAGTTGTTTGTTTAATATATTTGTTTGCATTTATTAAGATCTATTTGTATTTTTGAGTGTTATAATGCAAGATTACTTTTACGTGGATGTTTTCTTTTGCCTTTCTTTTCCCACCTGTGTGAATCTATTTTACAATAAAATTTGATGATCGTTTTATTAAATCTCAAATTAGAGAAAAAAATGGTTATATTTCTACTCATGTGCTAGACTGTTTTTTTTTGCGTCAAAAAACTTGCCACACCCAGTATATATAGTATAGTTTCCCAATAACATTTCAGATATAATTAATTGGTTTATTTTTTTTTATAACAAAGCAATGCCTCCTCACAAGTTCAGATATAGTCGATTTTCAGTATAGGTGTCGTTGGTGTTAAAAAACGATTTATTTTTAAATGGAATATTACAATTAAAAATCTTTTTTCTACTCCCGTGTGTGAAATACCTAATTACCCACCCCTCTAGAATGTGGGAAGCGTCACTTTCCCACGTCAGTTTCGTTCCCATGGATCCGAGCCATTTCGGACATTTCCGGGATTTGGGAGCGATGTTTTCGGAGATATTTCCCACGCCTTGAACTTTGACGTTTTTCAATTCTGACGGTCAGTATTGGTGTTTTGCGAAAAAGTATAGTATGCATCACGTTCGGTAAACTTGTTTCTACTCCCGTCTGTAAAATATCTAATTACCCACCGATCTAGCGTGCGGGAAGCGTCGCTTTACCACGTCAGCTTCGTTTCCCACGAATCCGAGCCACTTCGGATATTTCCGGGATTTTACCGTACGGGTTTGGGAGCAATCGAATGTTTTCGGAGATATTTCCCACGCTTTGAATTTTGACGTTTGTCAATTCTGACGGTCATGTCAGTGAATGTACTCGTGTTGTTTTACGGAAATCTACCCAAAAACTAACGGTCATAGAAATGCAACACGTTCGGTAAACTTTTTAACACCACTCGTTTATTAAACACTCGCTCCGCCCGTGTCAAATAAACTCGTGAGTCAAATGCCGTTTGCCGCACTTGTTGCATAATATATTATTACCAAACGTGTTGCATACTATACTTTCCTACTCCCGTCTGTAAAATACCTAATTACCCACCGATCTCGCGTGCGGGAAGCGTCACTTTATCACTTCAGTTTCGTTTCCCACGAATCCGAGCCACTTCGGGCATTTCCGGGATTTTTTGGGAACAATCGGATTTTTTCGGAGATATTTCCCACGCTTTGAATTCTGACGGTCATGTCAGTGAATGTACTCCTATTGTTTTACGAAAATCTACCCAAAAACTAACGGTCGTAGAAATGCAACACGTTCGGTAAACTTCTTAACACCACTCGTTTATGATAAACACTCTCCGCTCGAGTCAAATAAACTCGTGAGTCAAATGCCGTTTGCCGCAATTATTGCATAATATACTATTCAATCTGTGGAACGCCGTACAAATAGCGTTGGGATCCCAAAGTATTTTAAAGTTTTAAAAAATTGCCATTGTGTTTACTAGTTTATCATATTATTTGTTTCTTTTTTTTTAATTTTGTAAAGCTTACGGAATGTCTGTTCAAAATCTAATAACATTAAAAATAAAATAAGCTTCTTTTGCAATAGCGCAACATATAGGAACTGAAATTCGCAGGATTCGAATGACAAACAATCCAGGGAATAATGTCATCAATCCTTTGACGTTTTCTAACGTCTTACAATAGCTTCAAAATGGTAACACTAGGGAAAGCGAATGTAATAACCCCATTTTCTCTATACCTCAACCTCGCTAGCAGGGAGTGTACAATATTTTACCGAACACTAGTTTTTTAAAGTTCCATTTTACGTCGGCGACATTCATTTTACACAAAAACATTGCGTATACAGAAAGTAAGGTAATGGTGGCACCACAACTTTTAAGACCCCCAAAATGTGGTGGAACTATGATCTAACCAGTCAACTGGGGAACGTGGCTGTCCAATCCTGAGGTGTAGTTGCAATTCAACATCACCTTAATTTGTTGCGGTTGGGACGAATGACCACACTTGATATAAATAATAATTTAATGTTTATTTCAAGTCAACCATGTAACAATACAGGAGAATACACCACACCTCGAGAATACAAAAAAAAAACTTAAAAATACGAGACAAATATCACATTATAGCTTAACCAACACAACAGTCATTTTTATGTAGACGTGGGCACTAGGAATCTCGATTTTAGCTTGGAATTTGTTGCTTTTCGTTTCTCAGATAGCGAGAACGATCATTGTTTACCACTACATTTATATGTACATCAAACGAACTGGATTGGGGACAACGAAAAACATTGAATTTAATGTTTCAATTGAAAATGCAAAATTAAAAACATGTATGATATGATGAGTCGAATTTAAAGTATCCGAACTATGGGTAGTGGCAAGTTGATAAATAACGACGTGCAACAATTATGGAAATGTAAAATCCAGCCATACAAAAACTTAACCTTACAAGATACACGTATAGAATACAGTATTTGATTGGATCGGGGTTGTACAATCTTATCCGTATGAAGTAATGAACACAATTTTTTTTGCCAATGCTTTCCTCAAGCACCAATGAAAAAATTTATTATCAGTTTTTCTGTCCCTCGCAACTGCACTTTTTCTTAACAGGAACGAGGCATTGCATAACATTACACATCAGACTGCAGAAGAGATCTTTGTAAGAACGTTGAGGTTGAAGCATTAACCATTGTTCCTGAAACAATATGCAAATCATCCTAGGGTTGCGGGGGTGCGTTAACTAGTAATACATAACATTAGATGTAATGGCTCTATATAAGGATGTCATGAGGATTAAACTTATGAAGGATATCGTTTAAAATGTACAGATTTGCGAACGACTAGTTTAAACATTGTTGAAAAAACTGATGTTATTCGTTTTTGATATTTACAACAGTCTAGCATAGATGCTCTATATCTCTATGTCTCTTTGCTATATATGTCTATAAAAAGGAATTTTCTTGTGTGTATATGGCACCAAATACTAAAAACATACAAGTTGTCTTAAATAACGTGTGCTATACTCGGTCGTTTAAAGTCGTATTTTTAATAGCCTTTGATTAAGCAATGTCGCCTGAAATACTGAACGATTTGTGAAAAATGCTTAAGTTAATTTAGTGAATGTTTTTAAAACTTTGTAGAGTGCAAAAGTCGAATTTAAATTGTATTTCAAAAGGGAGCAAGTTCGGTAATATTCAACAAAATTAATTTAGGCGGTTTTTTTTAGCACTATGCATCACAGATACCAGCCGAAATTTGTAAACCATCCTGTTTTTGGAACTATTTTTCCAGAATTTGATTATGGTTACCTTTTCGGAGCTCGGCATGTGGCATACTATACAAAATATTAACAGTATCAAAAGTTGCATCTTTTTAAATGGAACCTCTTTTATATTATAGAATTTTTGGATTCTACTGACCGAAATGTGTATGTTACAAAAACATTTACGACACCTAAATCTTAAGGCTTTTGCCAAAATGCAGATTACATTTTCACAAAACAGAAATTATTTAAAGAACCTGTAAGATATAAGTCCAAAATCCACTTATACAAAATACATCATAGACCATCAGATCATAGAATCCAAAATTGCAATAATATACAACTTTTGAAAACCACTTTGACAACAATATTCTATGGTTTGTTGCGTGAATAACCTTATGTATCAAAGATAACAGAAAAAACTTAATCGTACCTGAAATCACCTAACGTCAGCGTCTGCCCCGCTGGCACAGTCTTCAGGTTTGACAATTTGGTAAGTCACGAAGTACTCGGGGTAGGCCTGTTCCCCCCTGTACACCACGTACTCGGGGAAGTTTAAACCACCCGCGGAGGGCCGTCCAGCGACCGAGTGATGGCCGGGCGGCGCGTGCGCCATTTTCATCGCGCTAAACTGGAGAAATGATTTCCCCAAAGTTACCCGACACAGTAGCAAATGCCTGAAACGGAAATTTTCCACAATACCATTTACGTCTCAAACAATTTTGTTCAACTAAATATGGTCGCAAAGTACCATAGGTTTTTTTGCCATACATCTTACATACATATATATTGGACAAACAGGTAGATCCTTCAAGAAACGCATTAACGAACATAAAAGAGCGTTTAAAAACAATAGTCTAGATTCTAATTATGCTACACACTTAAACACGCAAAACACATTTTTGAGGACAATTTTGATATTTTACATACCGCCACAAAAAGTAGAAAATTAAATTTATTGGACGCCATGGAGATTAACAAAACGAGACATTAAAATGTATTGCTTAACGATCAATAATTGGATTTAAATACCTCTCCTTTATTGAACTTAAATTCTCACAATACCATTAATTAAGGTTTTATGGCCATTTTTCGGTATATATAGTACCAGGTAGTTTGTAAATATTACATGTGATAAAAACACGTGTTTTTTCGAAACTGTTGTCATGTCAAAATATATAATTTCGAGAAAATCGGAACTTTTAGTTCTTATTTATTTTGATAAATGGATTTTCATCAAGTAAAAGCCACCTCAGTTCAAAAAATGTTGTTAAAATCACAATACGTGTCGATCGGCTCACCTGTGACAGGTGTAACAACTCCTGTCCTTGTGGGTGGGACACCCGGTACCGCCGCCAATCCCGTAAACGTACTGGTTGCTCTTGGACGAATGTTCGGCGAAATATATACCCGCGCCGAACATTCCTCCAATGTAGGCGTGTCGCTCGTCGAAGCCCTTCTGCACGATCGCGTTGATAAACGGCGAACCGTGGAACAGCATCCTCTCGTTCGACTGGCTGTTACTTTCTTCCGCCACTTCTTGACGCCTGTGAGTGTAGCGCTCCCAAAGCTTCCGGTTTTGGACTTTTTGTATCTGCGCATACAGTGTGAAATATCCCTTATTTAATAGACGTTAATGGTATATTATGCAACAAGTGCGGCAAACGGCATTTGAGTCACGAGTTTAGTTGTGACGAGCGAAGCGAGTCTGTCATAAACGTAAACCGCTAGTTTTTGGCTACATTTTTGCAAAACAACGGAAATGTACGAAGGGATCCGTGGGACAAGAAACTGATGTGGTAAAGTGAAGTTTCCCGCACGCTATGTCGGTGAATACTTTACAGAAGGGAGCAGTAATATTATTATGTAGCTTTGTAGGCTTATTTAAACGACAGATTAAAGCCTTTCGCACATTTCAAAACAACAACAACAACAAACAAAATAGCTTACATAGTACCCAGTTGTGGAGCGGCATCATTTACGTATGTGGTAATAAAGTGTATGAAAAATCTTACCAGTCAGAATTAATCACAGAACAATATTTGTTTTCGTACCAAAAATTAATCGGGAACCACCTGTCGCGGTGGCAGACAACAACAATAATGTTACAAATAATAAGTTCACTTAAACAGCTTCCTTCACATACGTTACAGTCTATATTAATAGTTTGATATTTTTTTGTATATTCTAATCTAACAGCATTTAAGAACTGACATTGTTAATATTTAGTAGGAATAAGAACGTAAATATTCGTCATTCATTAGCAGGGTGTCTATTACAATAGTTCAAATTTTTCTAAATACCTACCATTTTCGTTAGATACTTCCATCCTTCATGACAAATTTCAATTTTTCGAAATCGCTTTTTCTAAGAAACTTAAGTATGAGTAGCTTTAAGTATTTATTCAGAACTATTGCTAATAGTAAAAAAAAAATAATTTACATCACTCTTAATAAATGTTCCAATGGGTGTCACACGACCTGTACACTTATACTCGATCCTTTATGAATTCTCATAAAAAATCGAAGTCACATGTTCGATTAAACCTTTTTCACTTAGGAAATGCAAGAATTTGTTGTAGCTTACATTATAACTTTTTTTTTGGGTTAAAATATTGCATGCAAATATTGACACCCTATATACTTAGTAAAACCAATATTTTGCACTGTTGCATTGCTCAATGAAAAAGCACATATAGCACTGAAAAATGTTGAATCAATGAGTTTGAGATACATATCTGGAAAACAATAAGGTTGACTTACCCGCACAATATTATATCTGGAGAATACACCTCCCGCGTGTCCGTTATCGCGGTGCTCCCTAATACTGTTTTGCATTTCTTCCTCTACCGTAATGAACTCTTTATCGTCGGCTAAGAGATCCACCAGCAGGGTGCCCGGATTTGTTGGCGTCGACCACAACCCACCGCAACTGGCGACCAACCTCTCCATTCCTAAAACGGGACGCAACAGTAGCAGTTTTTTTTTTTTTAAGATATTTAACTAGAACAATCTATACACATTTTTCTCATTGCTGGGGTAGAATATTTATTTTGACTGCATCCCGGGCACTAGCTAACTGTAGAGCAATAAGTTCGATAAGTTTACTAAATCAAGAGTTTACCATCTTACACAAAAGTTTCTTTTTCTCAAAATACCTTGCTTATTAAAAAAACAATTTCTTCCCAACATTGAAGTTGGATGGTCAAATATCTTCAAGCAAACTTTACCTTTAATTAGCTTGTGCCTGAAGCCGTACGCTGATATCCCGATCTGCTTGAGATCGTCGTGTCCCATTTCCGCCAAAATATCCAGCGTGATCTGTTCCCTCTCGAAAATGTCGAGCAGGTGCTCGAGGTTAAGGGAGGCCAAGAACTTCGCGACAGAACTGATCTGACTCGTGCTTTGCTCGCTACTGTCTAACTTAACCGACGAACCGCAGCAACCTAAAAGATACCCGCTTGCCTATTTCTACGCGACAATCGCTTATTTTACCTTCCGCAACGCTCATAGACACGCTGTTCCTGCTTCCGACCGGTATAAGTAGCTGAACGGAGACGCCGGAAGGCATGATCACAGTCTCTGCGTTTACTGACGGCGCGATCAATGAAGGGGCGGGGCTGTGGGATAGGGCGATCGAAGGAGGTCTGGACGGTGGGACTGGGGTGCTGGGGACAATCTGTTGGGAGGCCATCGCGTCCTGCAACAGGCACCGGACGTCGTCGGCGGAGGCGAGATCCACGGGCGCTTGACCCTCTTGGTTTTTGAGGAACGGATCAGCACCGTGGGCGAGCTAAAATAATTTTTTTACTCAACACACTGAGGAAGATTTCGATTAAAGACGCTTGCAGTAGTCTAGATGGAAGTTTACTCTTCTTAAGGCCCATATGTGGATGAGTGTTTATTAATTATCCTTTAAATTAAAAGATATGTACAATACAAATACAATACAATACAAAATAATTTCCTAGAAACAATTATGATGTTCCACAATTTAATAACATGTCAAGGAAATTTGACACTATTTAAGTGGGTTGAGCATTTTACTTTATGAATTTGGAAATAAATTAAATAAAAAACGTTTTGGTTTGGTGGACTTGCTAATATTTATCTTTTAATTGCTTGGAAACAGTTCGGCTGATGAAAATTTTCAATCAGAGAATTTTTATAAAGAATTCAATTTCCTATAAAAAAATATACCGGTAAAACTCACTTATAACGTACACGCTTATTACCAATCAAGGGTTATAACGTATCATGTAAAAAGTAGCGACAATTTTTATGAAGCAGTTTTTATAACGTACTCGTTATTAGATACTTCTGATACCAAGTCTGAGATTCCCCGAAAATAGCATTATATAACGTACTTTTAATATCCGAGGCAGATGACTTGCCTCTCAATCAGTGGCCCATCAAATCAAACTATCTGAGGTAGATGAAGATTGGTTAGACAAAAACAATTTTCACTTGGAAAAATTTAATCTGAGTATGATAGACGCTTTTGTTGATGTCGATAATGATATTATGACACCCAACATGCTACAGAAGACGAAATAATTGCGCAGGTTGGTCAAACTGAACAGCTAGAAAGTAGTGATGAAGATGAAGAAGATAAATAAGTGCCGGAAGAAACATATCCAACTTTTGATGACGCCGTAACAAGGAATCAAAAATGCAAAACGATTTTTAGAAAGTAGAAGTAATACAGATTATCGTATTTTAAGCGCATCGCTGGAAATTGAGACGTATTTATTATTTTTATAAATCGCCAGAAGCAAACCCAAATAACGGATTGTTTTACAAACTACATACCTGTATTTATACGTATTTTAAAATTACGTTTTTTTTTTATTCTTTTAAGCTTTTGTTTATAATATGAAGTATATTCAAGAATTAATAAAAATAAAAATCTAAGTGTACGTTTTTAATTCTTTTCTAACGAATTATATACATTATAACCAAGTTTTACAGAATTTAGACAAATATTTTCACCTCAATTGTTCGGCTCTTTTGACGCAATAATGAGATCAGGGCTAAAAAATCGAAAATACAGTGGTGAATGATTCTATGGATATATTTTTCATGAAACAAAGTAGTCGATTTTTTGGCCCAATCTAGCATAACCCAGTAGCGTAACAACGCCAGGAGAACAAATTCACTTACAAGCAACGCGCACAGCTGGGTACGCCCCTTTTGCGCGGCCTCGTGTAAAGGAGTAAAACCCCATTTGTCGGTTGCATTGACAACGGTATTGTACTTGATTAGGAGGGCGGCTATGTCCAAGTGGCCGTAGCTAGAAGCGTTGTGGAGGGGTATCAAACCACCCTTGTCTTGAGCGTTCACGTCCGCTCCGTTTTCAAGCAGAAACTCGGCCACTTCTACGTTGTTGTACCCGGCTGTAAAGTAGGTCCAATTTGATCCGATTGAAGTTAGCAGAACGGAGCACAATTTAACAAAGCTTGCTTCTACGGGAAAACTTATCATAAAAATGAGTTAGTACTGGTTATATCCATTTTCCGAAAATTCCCTAGAATTTGATAAGGCTCAAAAGACAAAGATTCACTCAGCTCCTTCATATTTACTATTCTTTTAACATTAAAGCGAAGATACTTAATATGTGCATCAACACCGAGAAGATCAAATGCTTACTAAATAACTAACCAAAAAAGAATTACCCAGTCGGAAAAAGATCGCAAAGAAGACCACTAAAACGATGGAGAGAATGCTAGACTTCATCGACCGAGGAAAGTGGTTAGAAAATGTTTAATGCTCGTTACTCTATATCTGAAAACGAAGCATTGATAACTTCAAAAAGGCTTAATACATTTTAATGAAGTTGTAGTAATTAAAGAGATCATTTCCTAGGCTCTCAATCGTGCTATGAGACATCAACAAATCAAAAAGTAACAATGTGATTTATTTACGTCATTAAATAGTCAACAACAACATCAGCAAAGTCATTATTTTGTCGGTTCTTCAAAAACCACTTCAACATATTTACAAAGTTGGAATTGAAGAAGATCTCGTTATTTCTTTCTGCATGCCAAAAGCAAGATTATAACTTTAACGAGCACAGACTTTAAATCACATGATATTGCAGACCAATTGATTAACTCTGGTTTAAATACCAATATGCTTTAAACTTTAGATTCAAAAGCAAAAGAAAATTATTGAGAATAACAACTAAATCAATTAGACGAATAAAATAGAAAAGAATGACCCGCAACAAGTACATCTTATTTTTTTCATTATTTCATTATTTCCATAAGTTTGACGGCCAAAACCGACTAGCACGCCATCTAGTTCGAGCACTGGAACTACTGTAGAAGCAAGATCAGAAATGTTTATACCTGACGTTAAGATGAGATTAAGATTCTCTAATCTGTAACGCACTTACCTGCCAAATGTAGAGGCGTCGAGTTGCGTCCTTGCGCGTCCCTACAATTAATATTTTCGGGGGTTACGAGTCGTTGTACGCGGGCCAGGTTGCCCTTTTTGGCAGCGTCGAGAAGAGCAGCATTGCCTCTCAACAAGTCCGCAACATCTTGATCGCCTTCCCTTACCAAATCGAGCGGAGTAGCTCCGTCCCTGTTCTTTTTACTAGGGTCCGCTCCATGCTAAGAAAGGGCCAACAGAGTGAAAATTCTACACAAAAATGTTATTGGTATATATGATTTACAAATTCAAATATTTTAGAATCATTTTAAATAAACACCAAATGTTAAAACTTTATTATGCATTAGGGCAGTCACGTTTGCAACATGGTATTTTGAGATGGAAAGGAGTACTGGATGCACATTTTAAAAAATTGGAAATTATGCAAACATATTTCCTAAAAATAGTTTTCCACGAAACTAGAAATTACTGGACAACTATTTAGGGAATCGAAATGTTTTACAGTAAGGCAATTATTTTTTCAAATATTTTCAAAAACAAAACCGGTTTTGTTTGGTATTGTAAGGCAATTATTTTTTAAAACAATAATTTTAAATACTTTCACTGTCTGTAAATGTTAATTCCATTTTAATTGTGTATCCATTGTTATTCTTAGGTGTTTTATTTTTTCTGGAGACTTTATTGAATGGTGTTCATTGTTTAACGTTTGCATATCTAAAGTTTTAAAAATTTATTGCACGAAAATGGCATAAAAACTGTTTTTTCTTCATTCACCATTAAACAAGCTCAAGTGTTTACTGAAGTCATTTTCGACTTTAATCTTAAGATTATCCCAAGAATCATCTTCGTCTTCATCTTTGTCGTCTGCAAAACCAAGAATTGTCCCTGACGTATATACATGGTACAAATTATTTATGTAAAGAATGAAAACGGATCCCTGGGAGACACCATAGAAAACGTTTTTTTTTAACTGTAAGTATTATTAAGTTTTGTTTTCTGTATTCTTCCCGTAAAATAACTTGTAAATATTTATAAGGTATTCCGCGTATCCCTGCAAAACTTCTGTGTCAAAGGCCCTGGAAAAATTGAGAAACACTGCAAGAGCATTTTTATTGTTTGGCCAGTAAGCTGTAAATTTGTGACATTATAGAAGCTACTGTGTTTCCTGTAGACTTACGTTGCCGGAATCTATATTAATCTCAAAAATTTTTGCTATGTTACTTACAAGTGATACTGTAATAGTTTCCTGGGAAGTTTTTGTCACTTTTTTTAAACAGTTTTATAACAGAGATTTTAAATTCTTAAGCACAGTTTCCTGTTTCAAAAATTTTGTTTATTAAGTAAGATAATGGTTTACTAATTTTGTTCGCAATCGGTTGTAGAGTTTCCATTCTGATATAATCAAAACCTGGTGGTTTTTTAATTGTAGCGTTTCTACGGTTTGTATTATGTCTTTGGAGGTGTTTTTTTTTAGTTGGAATTATTTTCCTGATTTCAGTTTATTAAATTTATTCTATAGTACATCTTAATTAAGTTAGTTCAGTTTGTAGGTGATTAACTAATATCACTCATCTTCACTTACCTTGAGTAAAAGCTTCACAATTTCGTATTTCCCTTTAGCGGCGGCTTCGTGCAACGGCGTGAATTTCCACAAATCTGCGACGTTCACACTCGCCCCGTGTTTCACTAACAGTTCCGTTACCTCATAATGGCCATACGAACAAGCATTATGCAAAGGAACCAGCCCTCTGTGAAAAAAAAATGTTTCACACTTCATATCATATGTAGCGTTTTGTCAACTAATTATTTATTTATTTATTTATTCATTCACCATTTAACCAATTTACAAAACCTTTACGTTCAAACAAAATATAACAATAACAATAACAATAAATAGAATGAAGTGGAAGCACTCAAATGGAACACATCAGAACGAAATGAGCGGAGGCTGCAGACAAAAGGATCAAGCTTTAGACAGTTGCACGCTTTCAGCATTCTAGTAAGGGGTGAATAAACTCCATAATTTGCGCGATGGTTGTATGCCATGTAAAAGAGCTAGACAATAACAGCAACCATTCAAAACCTTAAAGAGAAATAATAAATCACTCGGAAATCTTCCAAAGAGATATAAAGGAGTGTAAAGCAATGTGGAATAAGTTGGCTACTATTGCATGCAATAAACCCAAGGACTCGTATAGACCTGTTTACCACTAACCGAAAAACTAAAACCAAAACTAACCAAAATGTGTCACATAGTTTAGAATCCATGCTAGTGACGACCTTGATTTCAACTCCATCTATGCTATATCGGTTGTGAACCATGCTCAATGAAGACTAAGCTAATACTATAGCTTCAAAAAATCCGCAAACAAAACACACTGCGATTCCGAAACTACACTAGCAATATTATTTATAAACAAGTTAATAAGAATGGGTCCAGTGTGAGAACCTTGGGGGACTCTCGAAGAAATATCAATTTCACTTGAGGCATAATTGTTAATAGGAACCAGCCCAGCCTCCAGGCCCATAGGTCTAAGCTTAGAAGCAAGATGCACATGACTCAAACGCCTTCGAGAAATCAGTATAGACAGAATCCACTTGACCAAGCCCTTCAAAGGCGTTCAATAAAAATTGTTGGTAGGTGAGTTTTGTTACGATAGGTTTAGCCTGTACAAATACGTGCTGTTGATAGGCCAGAATTTCCCTGCAACGCCACGAAAGCTTTTCACAAAACAACTTATCTAGCAGTTTAGCAACGACCGACTGTATGCAAACGCCTCTACAATTAGCAATATCGCTTTTATCACCACTCACTCACACTTTTATTGTGGCTGGCTCAGTTATTGTCGAAATAGTGAAGCGCGAGCGGTCAAATCCGCAAACGAATTTGTGAACACCGTTACCAAGACTTTGAGTTTAATGAAAGAAGATGCGTTTCATTACTTTCGTGAAAGTAATAAGGTCGCTTTCGAAAAATCGTCGCTGGGCGAGGCAAGTTCGTAGCGCGTAGCGCGAAGCAACTTTTTATTCTAAAAAAGTAGCTTCGCGGTTTCTTCATAAATATAAAAGATTGTACAAGTAATATCAATTTCCAATGATATTATTCCAAGTATCTCGCGCACCCTGTATGATTACGACACTGTTCAAGCGAAATTATCCCATGTTTTATAGTTTTTCATTTACTGCTAATAATTTGCCCACGAAAACGGCAATTTTTAAGGTCTTTTTGATTTTTTCTCCATAGTCGACACACCATGTACATAATTGGAAAATGCCGGAAATAGAGGTTATAAGCCCGGATCTCCAACGTTCTCTCATCCACGAATTTTTCCAATAGAGTAAAATGGTTTTAGACAAAATAATTTTTGTTCTGCAACTATGCAGTACGCCGTAATAGTCACTGACATCATCGCGTCTAGACTGAGTGCGAGAAATAGTGATTTTCATTTGGATTTTTTCAAATATCTCGAACAGCGTATGTGATAGACCAAAACCGTAAATACAAAAATTGTAGCCCTTGATACGGCCTATAACACTGTTTGAACGGATTAGCTATTGTTTGTACGAATTTTGATTTACGGTTAATAATTTACTCTCTAAAAGAACAATTTTCAGGGTCTTTTAGATTTTGTCCACCTTGTATACTATCGAAAAAATGCAGTTTTTTGTCGGGAACGGTTTTCGTGGAAGAGTGCAATTTTTTAAAAATTATATTAATTATAATCTACAATTAAATGGTGGGAGCTGGAGAAGACTTTATTATTTTTATTTATAGACCTGATTGACCTTAATCTTCAGCAAAAAGTTAAAACTTTTCGATGCAACGTAGGTATTTTTATAAAATGAAAACGAGAATGTTTGAGGAATTTCATAATATCCATGAATTTTATAATTTGAGAATATTAACTAATGATGGCGAAAAGTTTTAGTCTTATTTTATAGTATTTGCGAATGGACCTTATTGACCTCTAACTTCGATACAAATTTCAATCTTTTCGGAAATACGTAGATATTTAAAAAAATTAAAAACATAAACTTTATGAGAAAAAACATGACAAAAATGATAATAACAAATCGAAAATATTAACCGAAAATGGGGGGCATTAATGTGCATTTTCTATAAAAATATGAACCTTCTCGGATCAAGACGAGTTGAGAAATAACCTTAAAATCTCATTTCAAATGGAAAAAACAGTTTAAAAATCAATGATCAATTTTGAACTTTTTATATATTATTTGTTAATAATTTTGAGAAATTGAAACCTATACATTAAATACTCTAGTCGTTCCTCTATTCAATGACTTATTTATTCATTTACTCGTAATTAATTATTTTACAAAAATTTTTAGCCTCCTACAGAAACCGTTCCCGACGGCAAACGGTACAACTTGTGTGAGACTTTTTGGCATGGTTAGTTAAAGTAAGGACCAAGGTATGTATCGTATTGATTTAAATTTCTCATAGTTTGAAATAAGCGAGATTTAAATCATAAATTGCTGACCATCGATTTTTGAGCCGGTATTTCAGACCCAAATGAAATTTCGAGGTAATATCCCAAAAGCTTGCAAAATTTTGCCTAAAGTGGTTTCTGAGGATAAGAAATCTGAAACCGAAACTACTTTTTGATTTTATTTATTCTGTTTTTCCAAATATCTCCCGCACCCTGTATAATAAACGAAAGCTGTAAATACGAAAATTGTAGCTCTCGGCACGGTTCATAATACCTTTTAAACCAAATTTTCCTTTCTTTCACAGTTTCTCATTTGCGGCTAATATGTTACCTATGAAAACGGCAATTTTCAGGGTCTTTTAGTTTTTGACCATAACCGATACACCCTGTACATAATCGAGAAAATTACAGAATTAGAGATTAAAGTCCTGGATCTGCCACATTTCCTGGTAGATGAAGTTTTCCAATACAGCAAATGGTTTTCGAGAGAATAATATTTATTTGAAACAATGCCGCACACGGTACTTCGTAATAGTAAGTGACGTCATCGCGTCTAAATTGAGCGCATGGATTTTTTCAAATATCTCGAGCAGCGTGTGTGATAAACGAAAACCGTAAATACAAAAATTGTAACAATTGATGAGGCCTATAACACTCTTTGAACCGATTAGCCATATTTTTTACGACTTTTGATTTACGGTTAATAATTTAGTCTCAAAAAGAAAAAATTTCGAGATCTTTTACATTTTTGTCTATAACTTGTGTATAATCGAAAAAATGATTAAAACAAAAATTATAGCACCGGATGTCCCACCTATCACGGTTTCACAATGTTTCCGATCGCATGAATGGTTTTGGAGCAAAAACATGTTTTTCTGGACGCCAAAAAACCCCAAAAATATAAAAATACTTTGCGGTATTTCATTGCTCTACTTCTCTGCCAAATCTAAAGTCGGTAGCTGAAATTTGGGGCACCTATTAGGTTTTTTAATATTGCACGGAATATCACAAACACCCTGTATAATAGGTAAAAACCTTAAATACAAAAGTTTTAGCTGTCTATAAGGGCTAAATCGTCATGTAAAAGACACCGACATCTAGAACACAGTATTTAAATTATAGGCAATTTTTCGTTTTTTTTTTTTTAAATTGAAAGTTTATGGAGCCGAATCTTCTGCGCCTTTTCGTTCAAAATTTTTTTCATTTACATTAACGGGTTTCGATAAATCCTTTAGACCCTCGCAAACGCGATTTTTTAATTTTAAAAAATAGTTTCCGACACCCCAGCCCAATTTCAATAGTTCCGTTAGCTTCATATGTGTGCCAAATTTGAAGTCATAGGCATGCACACCGCGGACAGTTGAAAACGGAGAACATTTGAAATCGTTCGGAAGTTATCGACAAAAATCCCTGGAATAACGAAAGGAGAACGGACTGAGGAAAAAGAAAACGTATTTATTTGACGCTGATCCCATTCTCTAATGGTACATACTCTAGCACACGTACCCTTTATCTTTCGCGTGCACGTCCGCTCCCTGCTGCAGCAAAAACTCCACGACCGCGACCCTGTTGTATCCCGAAGCGAAATGCAAGGGCGTCGAATGACGGCCGTCGAGGTCCCTGCAGTTCACTATGTGCGGATATGAACCTAGATACCTCTGAACCTGGTCCAAGTCGCCGGCCTTCGCAGCTTCCAAAAGCTGACACTCTACGTCAGCACTGCCCGTGGGCGGATCTTAACAAAACGTCGTATAAGTCGAACCACTTAGAAACGTTATAAGCCTACTTTCACACACACCTTGTAGTATCTTAAGGACGTTCTCGGAAGCTACTTGGGTCGCGGTGTAACCCTGTAAAGACACGATAGAAACGTCGATGTTGTAGGACAGCAGGATCCTGCAGGCCTGCACGTTGTCCTCCCTGGCGCACCGGTGCAGCGCCGTTTGTCCCAACCCGTCCAACGCATTTACCTAAAAATTAGATGACTCCTTAAAGTGGCCAAGGCATAAATAGGATAAGATAGATCACTCAAGACTCCGCCCACAATAATGCTTTCCTTGCTAGGTCCTTGATGGTAGCAGACGGTAGCGTGTACAGATTTTTTAGATAAGAAAACGTGGCTTTCTTCCGAATTTTGTACCAAGTTAACAAATAATGTGATTTCCACAAAAGGGCGGTAGAGAGGTTGGATGAAGATATAATCATATGCCGATGTTGCAGGAGGTTTCAATTTTCATAAACAATTTTTGTAATAACTTTTTCGAGACGCTGCATTAATTTTAAACTAAAATAAACTTTACGCCAAAATATATATATCAGAAACCACAGTTAACCGACAGTACGAAATATCCTTTTTTCGAGAATAAAGGCCTTGGAGAATACTATTTACTCATCTACCACAATATTGTGAAGATAATCCCCATTATTAAAAAAATATGTTTTGAAAATCAAATCCAAAATAAACTCTTCGCGATACTCGGTATATCGTACTTAAATACATCAATAATGATTAAAAGAAAGGGCGAAAAATCGACAGGTTTGATCTAAATTTGAGCCTTTAAAACTGTTTTGTTATTTTTGCTGCATAGAATACAACTTCCAAGATAGCTTCTAACATATCCCATGTATAATGATTACATAAATTATTTATTTTATTTTATTACCGTATTTGAATAATTCGGTTATTTTTAATTTGAGACCCAATATCGTCAAGGAGCTATTATGTTTTATACAAGATTTGCAAGTTTTAATATAAAGTTTAAAATCTGCTGGACATTCCACTAAAAAAAGGCTATTTTCTGATTTATTCAATACAAAAGGGCCAAAAGACTACTATAAATAAAATATAAAATATTAAACATATTAAACTAAAACCGATTTATTCCTCTAATAATTAAAAAAAAAACAGATACAATAGTGTGCACTTCATTTGGTTAAATGTGGTAGGAAGCTTCAGGCATTTTTCTTACCGAGTACCACGACAAATGACAATCTAAAACTCACCTTCCCGCCACTTCTCAAAAGAATATCCATAATGTCGTAATGCGAATTATCGGCGGCTATATGTAGGGGCGTAAGAAATTCCTTGTTTTTCTCATTGATATGCGCCCCTTTCCGGATAAGTCCCTCTACCACTTGCTTCCGTTTGGGGTACATCGAACTGACAGCGCAATGCATCACGGTGTCGCCGGTATAAGGATGCTTGAAGTTGACCACATCCGGAGTGAGGTATTTTTTTATTTTAGCATTGTCGGCTTGCCTGGCCCCTTCCAGCAAAAGATGACCCTTATATTCGTCTGTAAATGTTTCGAAGAAATTACTGAACGAATCTTAATATCACGACCCTAAACCATTCATTACTAGTCCATTTTTTGAGGTTAAAAATTAATATAAATATGGGGTTTTTCACAGTAGAAGTGAACATCAATTTAAAAAATTAACACACTGCATCTGAAAATAGCAGTATTATTCTTGATATGGGTTGTATGAATTTTTCAAAAAGATCGTCTAGCAACTGTCAATGACCTGCTCCTAAGGTTCCAATCACCCAGTACAAAATCAATTTATGACTGACTCACAGGCTAAGCGTTCCTGGAGCTCCCTGGTGGGGGCGACATCTATGGAAGACTTGGAATGGCAGTTGAGTTGATAAGGGTCGGCCCCCTCGCTGAGCAATAGTGAACACACTTCTACCCTGGATTTTGAAGCGGCTTCGTGAAGCGGCGTAAACGCCCATAAATCGTTGGCGTTTACATTCGCACCGTGTTTGATCAGCATTTCGGTCACCTCGAAGTGACCGTAAGAACAGGCGTTGTGAAGAGGTACAAGACCACTAAAAACAATACGGCGTCCTGTCTAAAGGGCTCGCGGAAAATACAGTTTGACTTCGATTTCAATAAAGAATAAATAAATCAAATAACATTCAAGTGGATTTTTTATAAAATAAAATAAATGATAAACGCCATTTTAGTCAAATAATAATAATAATAATAATAATAATAATAATAATAATAATGGCAACCAAAACTTTCGATTAACCAGATACTATTATGTTGTTTACTTATGAAATGTGTTTTCATAGCTAATTTGAAGTTGAAAGAGGGCAGATTGAGGAGACTGAAGCAATGCAAACATTTTTTTAACATATCAGGCTGTTAACAGTTTTAACGTTTTGTTAAATGTTATTTAATTAATAATTTTTAATTTAATTTAATACAAAGAAATTGGTTTTAAAAAGGTTTTCGAAAAATTATTATATCTTTTAAGTTTTAAATAAAAATGGATACAAATAATAATAGTGTGGATCGAAGTGTAAATAAAAAATCAAAAAATACAGTTATATTTTTTTCAATATTTTATATGCATCGTAAATAAAAACATTTACATAAAAAAAGATATTGAAATTATGGCGTATCCATTTAAAAATATTTACATGAAACCTTACAAAACTCATAAATTTTAGATACATAAATAAAACAACGATTTATTATTTATTATCTATTTTATTTGTTTTACGCCAGTATCACAGTATTTATTTTTTGTATAAAAAAATCTCCTCTATTAAATAATTTAACAAGATAATTTTGCGAGACATTAGTACCTGCATGTAGTATGAATTCCATTAAAGATAATAAATTTTGTAGATAATCTTTCAAAATTTTGATCCTGCAAAAAGTGACTACTTTTGCCACAATTCAAACACAGATTCTTAAACTGTGCTTTCACACTGTCTACCGTGAAAAGGGTTGACCTTTTTTCACTAGGGCAAAAAATATGTTTTTTACAAACGAAAGCGTCTTGGGATGAAGTCTGATAGTGTCAGTTTCTGTAATTAATTCATTTTTGTCGTAAAATTAAATTCGATCTTATAAAAAATATCGTGTGCAATGTTTATGTCTCATGCTACAAAAATATAATATATAGCTTGAATAGCCTGAACAAATTATACGTTAAATTGACGAATACAACAATAGATTTATAAAAGGTTTGAAGTTTTGGTTAGTATATATAGAGTGACCAAAAAATCAACAAAACCGAAATTAAAGAACCGTTCTTTGTCTACGAGATCCACATTAAATAAAATAGCAATGAGCAAATTTTAGAGGTGATATTATATAATTTGCGGACATCATATTATTGGGGCAATTTTTAAGGACCATAACCTAATGGCTAACCTATTTGGACTTATTATAAAATCAAATTCAACCCGCACTAGAAGAAGTTGTTCGCGAAGATCAGGAGATCTGGTACCAGATGGATGCTTATCCCGCCCATAATTCCCGTACGGCTAGGGAGTATTTGGGAAATACTTTTATATTCATTAATTAATATTTGTAATAAAAAACTTGAGCGTCAAATGTATACTAGTTCCTTGAAGCTTCCTTGTTGCCTACACTGTCCTTTACACCTATCATTTGAACTCTGGATCGCTCGAGAGACATAACCTAGTTAAAGATCTTGGAGTTTGGCTCGATTCGGAGCTCACATTTACATATTACATTGATTTTATGACTAACAGAGCTATTCCATTGCTTGGGTTTGTTTTTCGGACTTTGAAGGGTTTTGAGAACATCTTTACGTATAGGGAGCTGTACTGTGCGCTTGTGCGTTCAATTTTAGAGTATGCTAGCTGTGTCTGGCAACCATACTATGCAATTCACAAGGAAATAATAGAGCGTGTCATTTGTCAATGTCATTTGAGGAAATAAACTACGAGGAGATTATGAAGCATTTGAATCTGACATCTTTGGAGAGTATTTTTTGAAATCGCTACATTGTACAAAATCCTTAATAACTTGATGAATTCACCAGATCTTCTGCCATCTGTTGGTTATCATATTTCTCCTATGAATGCATGAAATAAGGCTCTTTTAACATTATTTTCATAGGACCAACTATGGCATTAACTCGCCTATGAATCGAATGTACAAGCTGACAAATATTTTACTCACAAATAACGAGCATATTGATTTATTTTCTGACTCTCTCAGTGGTTTTAATTCCAAAGTAAAGAAGACTGTTTTTAATCAAAACTTGGTAGTTTAGCAACTGTAAGTGTTGTTTATAAGTGTTGGTGTTAACTATTTTTCTTAGGTTAAACTATATTGTAATGATAATGTAAATGCTAAATGCGTAAATAAAATTTTTGATTTTAATTAATTGAAATTCATTACAAGAACGCTAGTATGAGTTTGATTCTAGGAAAAACATAATTACATACCTACACACTTAGTTTATTTTGAATATGTAAAACAAAACGTTTTTATTGTATTTGATATGCCATTGTCCAGCTTGACGTCGTCACGTTTTGGAAATAGCGTCATGGTAAATACTACACGGGATGTAGCCAAAAGTTAATTGGGGTATTACAATGAAACACTCTGTATATACAGCATTAAAATAAATTGAAGGTTTGTAATACCCCAATTAACTTTTGTATTTAACTTTCGCCTCCATCCCCTATAGTTTCTGAGACAAGGTATCGTTCCAAGATAAACGGCCCACCTCACACAAAGAACAGTTTTTAACCGACTTGCGCAGTATAAGTTACAGAAACAAATGCTACTTTGCGGGAGAGAATGTTCGTTATTTAGGCCACATCCATTCTAAAGAAGGGACTGGACCAGATGATGAAAAATTAGCAGTCATCATAAAGATAGCACAACTTAACAATATCAAGCAACTTCTAGATTTCATACAAAGCTGTTCATGGGTTCCACGATCCATTGAAAACTTTATCGTAATAGAGAAACCTCTCACCACCTGTGGCAAGTGGCACAGGAACGACTCTTTGAATACTAGCAAATTGCTTACCCTTTATCTTTAGCATGTACGTCCGCGCCATGCTGCAGCAACAACTGCACCACTCTACCCCTGTTGTAGCCGGCAGCCAAATGCAGAGGGGTCGACCGTCTACCGTCACTCGCGTGACAGTTGACATTTAAAGGGTTAAGCAGAGCCAAAAGTCGATCCTCCGCGCCCGAACGCGCCGCCTCCAATAGCTCGTCCTTCCTATATTCGCCGGTCAAGACGTTGCGGGTAGAGGCGTCGGCGACCTCTAACGGAGTTTTTCCTTCGGTGTTGCGAATATTGACGTCAGCTCCGTGTTGCAGGAGGGCTATAAAAAAAATAAGTAGTACTTTACACGACAACCAGCCATAGCTAGTACCGGGGACGGCTAAGGGATCGTTCTATCTGTGCAGGCTATTTGACGACTAGTTCATCAGTCAGGCAAATCATGAGAATTCAACAAGTTTGTCATTGAGTTACAACGCACAATTTAACCAAAAATCAATTCAAATTTTGAAGAAAACACGGTAAATTTATTGCAATTCTACGCAGAGGAAGGGAAATGGGGCAAATACTACAAAAACGGCCTTGGTTAATCCTTCGTTCGCAAGTTCATATTAACAACTAGCGCAATTTGCTTTGGCATTTTCTCCGGGTGGGTGTTAAAAAATTGTGAAAATTCCAGATTAGGCAAACATGTTATCGCCTGAGATGTAACAATTGTATCTTGTTTAGCCCCTATATGTTGCCCATTATTCCTCTCGTACCATGTTGGCTTGATTTAGATCACTCCTACAGGCCGGCAAGACTTCGTTTACGCGAGAGAGTGCGATGAAATGGAATTTTTCGAAAGCATACAGCGTCGCCATTAATGAATAAGCGTAGAAAAAAAAAAGGTTTTGGATTTTTTGTCCGTTTTGTCCGTTCTCTATTCTCTAACCCTCGCTTCTCTGCAGACGCGGCATTAAATGGCCATAACTTTTGAACGGTTTGACCTACAGCGCTCAAATTTGATTCCTTTTAAACAGTCCATGAGACACATAGGTCAATAAAAAAAAATCTCCGCGATCGGACCCGACGACTATCTTTTTTTCTTCGATTGTCGGCTGTTTTTTGGACATAGATTTGAAACACGATAAGTGTCCAGAATTCAAAGTTATCGACTTCAAATTTGGCAAGCAAATAGAGTTTGGTCCCCTGACAGAACCTATTGAAATTGGGAGGAAGTATTTCAAAAAAATTAAAAACCGCGTTTGAAAGGGTCCAAGAAAAAAATCATTTCTCGAAAACCGTTAACGCGATTAAAAAAATTCTTGAACTAAAAGGCGCAGAAGATTCGGCTCCATAAACTTTTATTCTTGACAATTTTTAAAAATGTACAGAATGCGCACAATTTTACAAAAATTTGAAATTTCAAAATTGACTATAACTAGAAGACTGTGTGTAAGATGTTTCTTTTACATGGCGATATAACCCGCATAAACAGCTAAAATGTGTGTATTTCCGGTTTTCTCCTGTTGTACAAGGTGTTCAAGATATAAAGCGCGATACTGAAAAATTAACAGAGGTATTTTGGCTTCCAGAAAAGAAAATTTTCTAGAAAACTATGAACTCGTTCAGCAAAATTATTTAACCTGAAGATGTGGAAGATCCGAGACCATAAATTTTATTTCAGCCACTTTTTCAATTATATACAGAATTTTTCAATTATAGACAAAAATCTAAAAGATCCCGAAACTTCTTGCTTCGTAAAAAATACGGCCAGGAATCGTGGGAGATCCAGCGCTACAACCTCGACTTCGAACATTCTTTGAATTATATACAGGGTGTGTAATTTATAGGTAAAAAATCTAAAGCATAAATACATAAAATTTCCGTGTTTGTAGATAAATTATTGACGATAAATGAAAAACTGTTAAAGATGAGATGAGTTTGAGTTTTGGTCTATCATATAGGGTACGCGAGATATTTAATATTAATATCAATATTAATATTAATTTAATATTAACATTTACCAAAGTTTGCGTAACTTTAAAGTTCGGCCAGACGTGAAAGTCACATTATACAGGGTGCATGCACAATAAAATTACATCGATTTTAAGAAAGTTCCATAGTGATCCCCAGGAGTACGGGGCGGTTTCTTTTTGAAATACAAAACTGCTTGTATTCGCAACATGTAGTTTTTTGCTCCCTAATAAAAACGTAATCATTGAAAAGTAGATAGTTTTACTTGCTAGATAAGAACAGACTTATCAGTTTTGAATCCTCAAATTTTGTTGGGTGAAAGGCAGCCTTGGAATGGTTAAAATCCCATATTAATGGACAACTTGTTGAAAGCATTTAGGAAATCTGGTCATTTCTTAAAAATCATGTAGTCGCTGTTTCAATCTATCCATGCGTATATTAATAGTCGTTATTTCTGTTCAACAAGAGGAAAAATAACCAATAGGTCCAGGAATTTTGCAGACTTACACCCAGAGAGAAAGGTTCTACTTTTAATTGAATATAATGTCTTTAAAATAAAGCAGATTTATTTATTTTCAAAAAAACAATCGAAGAAACGGTTATATGAAAAAAACAGATAAAAGTTCTGTAATTTAACACCAAAAAATTTATAACGACTCTTTTTAAACCTTCTCAATACAAACTGGAGTAACTTGTACCCCAACTTAGCAGCCGAAAATTTAAAAATTGTGCAGCGTGTGTAAGCTAACAAACTCCAGGCTATTTTTCGTTTTTTTTTTACATTTTACCCCGGTTATTTTTCTATATCGGCAATATGCTATAAAAATTAGACATTACGAAACATTTTTTAATGTATTGCACAATTGAAAACATTTTCAAAAAGATTATTATTAATAAAAACCAGTCAATACGATTTTTAAACCATTCTACCGCTTCTTATTCCTAATTTATGTTCAAATACCTTATTATTATTCACGTATACCTTAGTATACTATTTTCATGCTAAATATAATTTACTAAAATATTTCAAAATCGGTTTAGTAATTAGCTTTTTTAAAGGATGCTTGAAGCTCAAAGATGCCACACTGTGTAATAAAAGAAAAACAGCAACGAAAATCCAAATTTGTTTACACAACAATATTTTGCGATAATTCATTCCGCTTCTTTTTTGGTAGAACAAGAAAGTTCAAGAAACCGGGATACGAATCAAGTGAGCGGTCAATACTGATTAATATTCGCATTTCACCTTTGTGTTTACATTATTAAATCACATGTAGAGGTGAATGATATTCCGTTTACCACCACAATGCGAACTATTAACTGTATTTTTTTTTTTTGACAAGTCGACAGTTAACTAATGAATGTAATAATAACTTTCTATGGGCCAGTCGCATGTTCAATCACGTTTCGATAAAGGTGTCGACTTATAAATATCATGGTTATGTTGTGTTAATTGGCTTGGATTTTTATTTTAGATCAGCCGTTCAGAGACCCTTGGAGGGCAGACCCTATAAAGAAAAAACGTCTATCTCCAGATTAGCACAAATTTCGATGATATTCTTGGCTTATTGTAAAGTCCCTGTCATTTCCAGATTTTTCAGTTTTCTACCAACCCAACTGCATTTAAATGAGTAAGAGATATCGCAAAAAGGACTATGTTATTGAAAGTTTTATTTATATTTTGCATGGTCAAAATTTAACAAATAAGGTTTTCCTGACATATAGATGATATATTATAAATTTTTCAAAGAAACTTCCACAGGCTACTGCAATACTTTTTATAAAAAATCAAATATCCCTGGAAAATGGAAAATATCACGAACTTCGCCAACCATTTAGGAAAACCAGGATTTTTCCAAGTGTTCCAATGGTTGACAACCCTGATAATCTGTAGTTCTTTTTTTTCCTGAAATATTCCCTTTGATATTTGTAAGAAACATTTTTCAAACATTTAGGAATAAAAATCTCTATTAAAAACATTAATTAAGAAAAATTTTTATACGACATTTTCATTTTTCAAATTTTTCAAATGTGTCCCTCAAAAACCTTACATTTAATCCTCGGTTTCAGAATCGAGCGTTTGTCTTTATAAAAGCCATGAAAAACCATCGCCGAAATGTCCGCACAGATCCCCACATTAAATTGCCCATTCGACGCAACGCGAAAATTGATTTTAAATCAGCGGTAACACACCTTAACACGACAACACTTTTGAAGTGACTAATGGTGACTTGCTAGAGCTGGCCTTCATGGACGAGGAAAGAACTATTTTGTATTATAGGAAAGGGGAGTGAAATCCACCATTTTGTGTTTTTAGTGGTACAATTTTTGGACCCGAGAGGAAGACTCTTTGTAACGAGTTTCTTAATGATATAAGACAAAGATATTCAAAATGGAGGCTGGAATGAAAATTTTAATCGCAAATTACTCAACTTTTTTAATTACTACATTTACTTAATGGTTTTAAAGCGATAAAAGAGGTTTATCGCAAATGTGAATTAAAACGATTTTCTAATAGGCTAATGCATAATGCATATGCATTTAAAAACGTTTGAGAACACTTGTATATTACATCTCTGAAGGGTTGAGATGTGTTTATTTATTATGCATTCTCTTCTCAGAAAATTAGATGTTACTAAATCGTGTTAGCAAGGACAGTGTAAACATAGTAAAAATCAATATAAGCGTTTGTTTTATCGAATATTTTAAAATACAAAAGTTATATGTATGAATGTGTCACATGCAATGACAATAGTATTACATAAGGTACCTTATAAGTTTTTCAAAAGTTAAAAGGACATCCCATACACTATTTCATTTCAGGGTCTCTGAAAAAAATTCTTGCAAAATTCCTTCTGTATATTTAATGCCAATGGTTTCTTATATATACATTCCTATGGCCTGGTGTCAAAATTATGATGTAGTCATCTTTCCTGATTTTGAGAATATGTTGATTACTTTTATCCAGAATTAATCATTCATTGTTTACAGGATGTCCAAATTTTACCAATCCATTAAATCATTTTTAATACTGCTAAACTATTTTTTTTAAATACCACACCCTGTATGTGATTTAATTTTATGATGCATAATTAAATTCTAACATCCTCTTTTGAATTGTGTTCTTGTTATTTCTTATTTTCTACCAAAAGTCAGTCAAACCCGAAAGTAGCTTTGGTTAGTTTGATTTTGACAAAATTTGAGATGTTTTTGGTTTTATTTATGTCACAGTGGTCATCCATATTACCCAATTGTAGCCCTTGTATTTTCCACTCTGTGGCCATATGTCAACAAAACAATCAACAGAAACATATTTCTATAGACATTGTTGAATATACAAATAGCACAAACCTTACATGCAAACAAAGCAAACAGCATAATATCATATATAAGAAACTTCCAAAATGAAATTTCAGGCAATAGATAATACATACCTATACAAACATCTATTTTCCCTTTAATGGCAGCTTCATGCAATGGAGTGTAATTCCAGTTATCCCTTGTGTTAGGATTAGCCCCTGCCTCAAGTAAAAGCCTAACTACATCTGCGTGTCCAAAGGAACACGCATTGTGTAATGGGTGCAGGCCCCCATCATCCCGGGCTTGAATAGAAGCTCCCGCGGAAAGAAGAAACTCTACAACATCCCTTCGTCCATAGCCTATGTCAAATAAAACAGATTACCACTGATAAACATATATTCAAAGTGCACAGATTGATACACATATCCATACAAATTGTTATGTAGGTATCTCTCTGAACTAAAAAAGAAAATATTATATTATGAAGGCCTAACCAAGAAGTAAACTTTAATATCTATAATTATATTTTTATATCACTAACTCAACCCTAATATTGTGCACAATACCTTCAATTAACAAAAAAGGAAAAATAGGTTCAGTAGGCATACTGATTTGGAGACTTCACCTGGGTATTAACATAATAATATAAAAGCTAGTACTCACCAGCTGCAAAATGCAATGGAGTAGACTTCCTGCCAGCAGTATCTCTTGCATTTACCGTTTGCGGTGATATTAGTTTTCGCACCCTAGCTATATCACCTACTTTGCATGCCTCGAAGAGATCTCGCAAAGGGTCGTTGGAGCTTGGCAGGGGATCCATTGAGCTTTTAAGCACATCCCGTCTTGTCGCCATTATTTCGCCATAAATATTTGAACTTATTAACCGAACATCGCGGGCAAACTACTTGCTGTAACGGAACCCGAAGTGAAAGTGTTGCTGCATATCATATTTTGCAATTTTGGTTTACCAAAGTTGACTCATGTTCTTACAGCACGTTTATCTTTGTTTTGTTATGAATTGTCGGACGAGGTGCAATTTGCTTACTGAACAAAGTTGAGGATTTCTTTTGGAAAAAATTCCACGTGTGTGACGTTTTGCATCACACTTGTTCGTTAACGATAATAAGGATAAACATATCGGACGTGTGTTTGGAATTGTTGCTATTCAAAATGTTACGTCATTACAATATTGACGTCAGACGAATGGCTAGTTGGAGAATCCGTCACAAAATATAAAATGGGTTCACAACCCTAACCTAAAAAATGGGCGTCCATAGACTAAACACCAAACGTTATCGGTAGGTTGTGAGTAAAGAACAGTTTTTTTACTGCTTCTTTCTAGCTTTTTAAGAAACGTGGCGTGGCGTGGTTACTGGATTATAGCAATTTTTTATATTTTTTTAGATGAACGAAAATCAAAATGATACTTGGTTAATTATTACTTCATTTGACAGTGACAACAAGAAACGATAGCTTAACTATCCACTTTTTCTAAGCACCGCGTTGATGTTATTAACGCATGACGTATTACGGTAAACTGAATCTTAATCTGATTTGATATTAAATATTTTTAGAAATGTTAATCAATCAACCTTATGTTGTTCGTTCATAGTAAAATATAATTATTATAGAATTAAAACTTCTTTTATAACTGATGTATTACTTTTGCAGACCTCTATGTAACCAAAAACAATGCATGGCAATGTGTGTGTCTGTGTGTAAGTGCAATAATATAGTTGCAAGAATCATTTGCCAGTCGTAACTTGTAAAAGAATCAATTGCATAAGGATTGCTTATGTAAGTATCTCTCCATGTGGTAAATGCCTCTGCTAAGTATAGCAAATTCAATGATTCATTGGATATCTTGATATTGTATTTCGCAATTTGAAATTTATGGGCCTCTTTTGGAAACGGTAAACTACTATTATCCATTTTATTAAAAACAATCAATTGGTGTAGAGGGTGCTTTACCAGTACTTTCAAAGTGTTGTTTCAGTGGGGATTTAATAACACAAAACACACTCTTTTATTTATTAAAAATCTTAAAACATAACTTGAGCTGCGATTTAAAATTCAGTGTTAACTTTGTCCATGCCGCAATTTTTGGGTCAGCTAAAAGTGAACCAAATTTTTAAACTTATGAACAATAATTCGCCATAAATTTGCAATAGAAGTCTTCAATTAGGTAACAATAACGAGTTTAATTATAACAAATCGAGAACGGTATTAGTGGGAATTCCATCCCTTAATATACTAAACATTACGACCAGTATCAATCACATATTTATCTACTAATTATCTGGCAACATCATCACAGTACATAAATATAATGTCTGTTTAAAAGTCGGTAATAAAAAATCTATAGAAAACAGTCAAACCATCAAATTAGACATACAGGGATGGCTAAGATTCAATGTTTTTTGGAGGGTCTCTGTATTTTTGACAGAGACATAAATAACAGTCCAGTGGTCCAGAGTGTTTGAGCTACGATAGAGTTTTGAAAATTTGCCTTTCAGAAGGTATGTATGATAAACCAAATTATGTTTTTGTGCGGAAAGAACAACCAAGTATCATTAGGCCGTTAATATAATACATAAAAATTTGACAGATATCAAGTCACGTCAATTTATTTTCAATTCTATCGGAGCTACTCTACTACTAGAAATCATGATATGAAACGAAAAGGAAATGGGTCTTAGGCACATAGAAAAGCAAACTTTGACTTTTACATAATTAAAAGGATAAGCAAAAGGACTATACTGTTATCTCTGCGGGAAATGGCGAAAACTTCAAAAATACAACGAATTTGAGCCCCCCTTACAATAATAAACTAGACAGTGAAAGTGTAAACTTCAAAAACAACAGTTAATTGTAATAATTACATAATTATTATAAAACACACATATAAAATAAACTCCTCCGCTCTGTCTATTAGTTGATTGATCACCATGTGATAACTATTGGGATAGCGTTAATTAATAGACGGGAACGATAATGCAACAGTGATGGTTTAAACTCAAAGGAGGGACATAAGCTTTTTTACCAAGTCCCTACAACGTTCTTTTCTTCGTTTTCTTAACACGCGGCAATGTGGCACTCGCTTGGTCCTAAAAACAAAGAAATATGTTAGAAACGCATGAAATTAGAAAAACGGTCAAATAATTGGTAATGAAGTATTAATAGATGAAGTTATTTGTGCGAAGTGAATCAATTTATATTCGTGACATTCCTAAAGAAGGCATCTTCTGCGCATGTCCCCAAATTTCATACACTAACCTGCACTTTGCGCCATAATCTTTCTAATCATCAGAGATATTAATTATTAGCATGGGCAAGGCATCTATACTAAATAGCTATATGGGGTTATATTTCTTTGAAGTATAGGTAAGAAGTATTTATTAAAAATTTAAGGAATTATATTATTATTTTATATTTCCTTTATGCGGAAGCGGTTTTCGATTAAGTAGAAGTAGCAATTTTGAAGACAGTACCAAATAATTTTAACACACAGTGGCGCATCATATTTTGCTACATAATAAATTTATCGAAACTAAAATCTATTTAGGTTTGGTTTTAAGAAAATGTATTTATTTTATTTACTGTATCTTCTGACCGACTTTTTGGATTTCAATTTGGGCTTGTTTCACAGAAAAATGACAGTGTTTTCAAATGCCATTGGTAATTCATATAGCTTCCTATAAAATTGCCAATTCACAATAATAACAGTTTTTTTTTATTTAAATCGCGTGGTATATAAACTTTTAATATCGTAATCGGAAAGTACATTAAATTTACAAAGAAAACACTAAGTCCGCAGTTCTTCTTAGCATTTTTAACGGTTTTTGAAAACACTCGAATTTCTCTTTCAAACAAGCCTAAGCTTATTGAAATCAGAAAAGTTTTTATAAAGATGCAGGGCTTCCCCCATTCTTATTAAGGTGGCTAAGCCAATGATCTTATCCTTTTTCAATTTTATGTCCAGGATTTCCTCAAGCTCATTTTAGTAATAATTTCTCTCCTGGAGCTCTACATCCAGGGGTTTTTCATTAGCATAGTAGGACTTAGAATAGGTGCTAAAACAATACTAAAAATAACAAAAGTTAATTGCCATTAGTTTTCACAAAGAAAACACTAAAATGCTAGCGTTAAAAGAAAAACACAATTTAGGATTAAATAGCCGGATAATGCAATAAAGCATGGCTGATATCGGGGATACTTTTTTAGAGCTTATTCATCACTTGTAGCCTGCTCTTTGGTAAGAGAGCAAGCAGTAAAGAATCCTGCTGAATTTAAAAATGATACAAACGTATTTAAAATTTGTTTGGAACCATTTGCACCAAAACCTGCAATAATAAAAAATTAACTTGCAAAACAGTAATATTGAAAATTAAAATGGAAGAGCGTTAAATGCGACTTTTTTCCTAAACTCCTACGTACTACATACCCGGTCCTAGAAATTTAAAGAAAAAGTAAATCAGCAAACAATGGTTTCGAAGGGCAAATGACCATCTGACAAAGTTCCCTTTCTTGGTTGTCCAGGAGATTTAATAAATGATAAGAGATATAAAATTGTCAAGCAAGTTACTATTCGTGTATAGTATTTCCAAATTGATCGATTACCAGGCTGATTTAATCCGAGCAAAACGTGAAATGTTATAAGAGTTAAACAATTAAAAACGTATGAACATTCCAACAAACTCCTGCCTGCTTTTTTAATCATTCACACTAATCGATATCTTCGTCTACGTATCTCCTAATAATTTTGATTCTTCTGCGATGCAAAGGTGAATCGCTTGAATTTTGTATCGACATCTGACTGACCGGTCTCGATAGGCTTTCGCTGAGGACGACATTAGTCTCTGTCCTACCTACGTCGATGGCGCTTTTGGAGTGACTCTTCGTATCGTGCAGGTTTTTCCCTTGAAAAAAGTCACTCCAAGAATGCCGCTTCGCTATCAACTTATCGGGTATGTTAAGGTGAGTCAGTTTCTTCGGAAAGCGGAGCATCTTGCTTAAGGAATTACCCCCACTCGTGGATGGCCCGGGGCTTTTGCTCCTGCTCCGGCTTTTCCTTCTAGTGTTTGGCGAACGCAGGAAAACCTCTTTGTCGATGCTCTCGTTACTTTTGTTTAAACTCCGGACGATACCCGGCTGTAGCACCAATTTCGCTTTGATCGCACTCGGCGACGGTTGAGGGGGAGGCGGGGCAGCCCTTTTGTTATACCTTCCTCCCCTTGTTTCCGTTCGATTGGCTTGATTACTAATCATTTCGGTTTCTTGCACTGTGAAAGTCTGCGTGGTTTTAAGGTCGGTAATTTCTTTCGTTTTCGTTTGAATTATTTTCGACAAGTGTTCCTTCTCTGGAAATCGATCCGCGTTGACGTCATCGACGCGCGAAACGGGAGCTTCGTCATTTCGAGGTTTTAGTTCAGACCTCTTGTCATGCGCAGAGGAGACAGGCGTTGTATTGGTTAGATCCGAATTGGATAAAAGATTACCGCATGCTGTTGTTACAATACTACAGTTATTTCGCGTTTCGACTTCCAATGCATTACCATGCACGGACAGGTTACCGCCGGCACTATCAAAGAATTCGTTCTCACTGGCTGAGGAGCTGGTCCGGTCGTCGAGGAATATAATGTTCGTGTCGAATTCTTCGTTTTCGTCGCTCTCCTAAAGATAACCGAATAAAATCGTCTCAAACGATCACTAACTTTACATTACATCTAGCGTTATCATTGTTAATGACATAAAAAATGGTATTTTTTCAATTACTCGTAAGCTTTAGAGCCCTGCTTGCTTTTGATTCCTTTTTACATACCAGACTAATAGCTAGATAGCATTAAAATAATAATATTCAAACTTATTCAAACTCTCTTTCTCTTCACTTACACACTACCAGCCCACCTCTCTTTTCTCACGGTACGTCTATAACTCTTTCGTTGTTGCATTTCCTCACACTCTCTCTACATATGTTCAATGGTTTCGTTCTCTTGCCTCCATACTGTGTGCACAAATACTTATTTTTCTCCTTTAATTTCCACATCTGAACATGCCATCACCAATTTTATCTCCTTTACCCTACTAAGGGTGAGATTGATACTTGAAGCTTCCTCGACCAAGGAAGAGAACAGAATGTGAGATCATTAATAATCAAGGTTTGAGGAAAGACTATAGCCGGCTAAGTACATTCTTTAACTCTGGTCTTCAAGTGTAACAAGAGACAGTACCTAGTGTTTAATTATGAACCTGCAGAAACCTAACCGAATATGGCAATATCCCCAGATATGGAGCAGAAATCTGCGTTTGATTTGTCAAGCAAATCCAGCACATTTTCATATTAAAGCACTTCAGACAGAAGCAAAAAGAGAAAGTGTTTAAACATCAAATTTTCAATACAATACAAAAGAAAGATTAAAAAATGTGTTAGGTTTGATAGGGTGGAAATATACATATAAGTTCGTTTTATAGTGCTAGCAGTGAAATAGTGAAGGATACGAAAAATAACTCAGGTTTCACCAATGACTAATTTCTTATTGCATTAATTAATTATTATTACATAATTATTATGAAATCCCTCCCCCCAACTTTCAGGTGACCCCTCTCCTAACCCATTACTCCCGTTAGTCTTTATCCCATCCGCTCCGGAGATCCATTCTTTATTCTGTATCTCATTCTTCCCCAGTCATTTCTTATCTTGTGCTTTCTTATTTGTGTGAAGCATTTCATTCACTCTATTAAGCGAGTTCAATTCAGTGTTCATTTGAGACATTTGCTTTTAAAGCTTGTATTAACTTGTATTCAGTACACTCACACTTGCATACTCAGACACGACGATGAAGAAGGATAATGAATAGTAATCAGAAGAACAATGGTTAATTCGGTACTTACATCACTCGCTACAGCGGATTTCTTTGGCATGTTGGACCTGGTCACTCTGGTTGGGCGAGTTCTGGTCAGCGAGCTGGTCCGTTGGAGACCTTCGCGGGCCTGCAGTTTGAGCGGTTGTCCTGTGCCGCTTAAGCACTCTCCGCTAGAGTAACCTTAAAGAGAATGCGATTTTTATAACCCGCTTTAAGTTGTATTGCAGCCATTTTCACAGTAAAAAGTTTTTGATAAATTAATAAACAAGGTGGGCCAATCAAGATGGGAACATTACAGCCCTATTTGTTCGAGAAATTTGCCATTTGCTTGATTTCGACTTACTCTATTTTTATAACTATACACCTGACCTTTTTCCTTATTTGATCTGTCTAAACCATTAACTGCAATTCTTCCGAAAACTGGATGGGAAGTATGCTGGTATTGCATGTACAAGGTGGCCGGGTTTTTTTTATTTCGTAATAGATTGAGTGCAAAAGTTGTTTTCAGTAAAATGATTTTTTTTTTGTATTATTTCAATTGTTCAATTATATGCAGGGTGGTGAAATAAACTTGTATTTCTTAAACAAAACACGTTATATTTTATTATATTTTTAAATACCCCTTTAAAAGACGAATCCAACGATACACAAGGTGTTTTTGAATGTCAATAATTAAGGGGACGATTTCTGGGCTTATTTTAAAAAGAAAACCTCATATGAACATACGCCCTAAGTTTTGAGATACGGGGTGGTAAAGTTTTTAAAAATAAAATATATTTTTTTAATACCTGGAATACCACTTTAGATATTTTATTCAAATTTGGAAGACATGTACACACATACACATCAAGAGGCATTATTTGGTGTACCCCAGTGGCGCCCGTGCGGGATTTCACCTGTCCATTTTGGCAGACATTTATGGTAAGCCACTGATTTCTCTTAAAATAAAAATTATTCTTACAATCTCCACTCATTTCTAAAGAAATTTAATTTCTTTTTGTTTTTTTAATCCGAAGTATCTTGTCGAACTTCAAAGTTACAGCAAACATCGGTAAACATCAAAATTTGCAAAAAAAATAGCGCTGTCGAATGATATTTTTTCAAATATCTCACGTCCTGTATAATTGACGAAACCTGAAACTCTCACGACACGGTTTACGATACTGTTCAAATAAAATTATCCCATCTTTAACGGTTTTCATTTATCGCCAATAATTTAGCCACAAAAACGGATTTTTTTAGGATATTTTAGTTTTTTTGTCCATAAACGACACACCCTATATATGACACAATCATTGTTCGAAGTAGAGGTTATAGCCCTGGATTTTCAACGCGTCCTGGTTCAAGAGTTTTTTGAAAATAGTAAATGGTTTTTGAGAAAATAAGTTTTTTCTCAAACCATGCAGTGCGCCGTAATAATCAATGACGTCATGGCGTCTTGACAGCCCCCGGAATAGCGATTTCAATATGGATTTTTTCAAATATCCCGAGCAGCGTATGTGATAGACGAAAAACGAAATACAAAAATTGTAGCTCTTGATGCGGCCTATGACACCGTTTGAACCAATTAGCCATATTTTTTACGATTTTTGATATGCGGCTAATAATTTACTCTGTAAAAAAAACAATTTTCTAGGTCTTTTAGATTTTTGCGTATAATTTGAAAACCCTGTATATAATCGAAAAAATTCCTGAAATAAATGTTATTGCACTGGATCTTCTGCGTCTGCCGGTTAAAGAATTTTGCCAATCGGATGAACGATTATGGAGGAAAAGATATTTTTCTGGAAGCTAAAGTTACCAAAAAAAAATTCAAATATATTTAAAAAATACTTGGTAATATTTGATTACGCCCAATTTCTACAGTTTAAATGTGGACACCGACTTTTAATTCTCTACTAAATTTAGGACACTTAACACATTTCTCATTTAACACGGAATATCGGGAACACCCTGTACAATAGGTGAAAACCTTAAATACAAAAGTTTTTGCTATCTATGCGGGCTATATCGCAATATAAAAGAAAGTGAGATCTGAATCATAGTCTTTCCAGTCTTTCAATTTTCAATAACACGGAGACCGATTTTTCAGTATTTGCGAATTTGTGGCGCACCCTGTAATAAAAGTTTATAGAGCTGCTTCTCCTGGTTCAAGAATTTTTTTGGTCTCGTAAATAGTTTTTGAAAAATTGTTTTTTGTAGACCCTTACACGCGCGATTTTTTATTTTTTTAGAATACTTCCCGGGTCCCCAGCCATCCCATTTTCAATAGGTTCCGTCACGAGGCAAAGCTGCATATATGTGCCAAATATGAAGTCGATTACTTCAATTTTCGGACACTTATCGTATTTCATAGCAAGGTCCAAAAAACAATAGAAAATTACGAAAAAAAGATGGATACCGGCATCGGATCAGGGCCATTTCTTACAAGCTTATGTGCCTCGTGGAGGGTTAAAAAGGAGGCGAATTTCAATTTTCTAGCTCCAACGGTTCGAAAGTTATTCAGGAAAAACCAAAAGACGAGAACGGAGAACGGACAAACAGACAAACAAAATTTTTTTTTCGACGGTGATTATTTCTGTACCAACGGCGATCCCATAGGACTTACCGTTACCGAGATATAAAATTTTTATACGAGCGCAGATACTTTCGAAAAATTCGATTTCATCGATTTTCGAAAGTAACCAGAGCGCTTTGCTAATACAATCATACCAGATAGACGAACATTTTCAATTGTATATAGAAGGTTGACTGAAACAGATATTTTCTCAAAAGTTAAGACGCAAAAATCGGCCCCCAATTATTCCATTCCATAAGAAGACACCATGCGTACACTTACATTAGAAAAATTCTATGCTAGCACTAGTTCAGTCTAGAAGTTAGACATTGTGATATACGTATTTAAACAAATCCAGAAAATTATTTCTACTATTTTTATTATTTCATACCAAATTTTGTATACAAATGTACCCTTATTTGTATATTCCTTTTGAGTTTGGTTTTTTCTGACGTATAAAATATTCGCTAAATCTAATTAAACGGCCGGAAGTATAGTTATTGTTTCCCATAACCGATCGACGAAATTGCCGGTGGGACATATTACCTGAACTTATGTCTTCGGTGGACCTGACGGAGCCAATCCTGTCGTCCCCAATGACCCTGGCAGTCATGTCGACCTCCTGGAAGTATACGCCAGCGGAAGAAGCGGAACTGGACCGATGCGGGCTCCGGCCGTTGTGACGCCTGCGCAGTAGCCTGGGATCAGCCACTATGACGTCATCGGTCTCGTCACGACCGTCGGCGGGATCGCTGAGGTCGCTCAGGCTGTAGCTCTTTTTTATTTGGCTAACAATACCGCCGCCGCCCTGCGAATCGGTGAGTGCACACTAAATAAATTAATGGCGATGCGGTTGGGCGAGCGCCGTTTCGAAAAAATTAAAATTTTACGCTCCAGATGTACAAATTGCTACAACGTAGGCCGATGATATTGCTGATCAAATAATGATTGACCCAAATGTGTCCGACTCGAAAGTGGGTGGTTTGAAAAACGCGCGTTAAAAGTTAAAATCGACTTTTTTGCCATTGATGTGACATTTATTGAAATATCAATAATATTTTGGGAGCAAAGAAAATTAATATACACATAGACGGCGTCAGTTGTAACCTAGTGCCCCAGATTGATAAACACTCCGAAAATTAACAGAGTAATGTAATTTGTAATTTTGTATTTTTTTAAAATTGCCCATTTGCCTAAACATTAAATTAAGATTATATAAAAAAAGTGGGAATTACTGGAAACTTTTTTTTGTCAATTTATTAAAGTGAGGGAAATGGCGATAATTCAATTTTAGAAATATTAAGTTGTATTGACTTCTTAATTCATTGAATGCGAAAATTAGCACACAACATTCAATTACTTATTTTTAGCACGCACGCGTTATGCAAAATAAATTATCAAAATTAATCAAGACTTTAGTGTTACAAACACGCGACGAAGACATATTATTTGTTTAAAAATAAAACCTGTAGGCACCCAATTGTAAAAACCTGATCTTACAATGAAAAACAAACATTTTTGTATGTAAATTTTTCTTCCCGAATCTTCCTCTCATCTGAGTTAATATTGCCCCGATATAATTCAGGCACTTAAGAAAGTGTCAGTGAAAAACGATATTATACAATATACTTACCTGATCTTAATTAAAAAAAAAACTGAAAAATATATATTTGTTCAAAATCATCGCCAAGGTTTATTTGCCATATTGTAATATAAATATACCGGGTGTGAAAATATGTATTAAGTAAATCTACCAAGAGAAAACGCTGAACATTATTTCTGAAATGACCACCAGAGGGAGACTTGTTATCTTGAATTTTAGAAATATAATAATAATAGTAATAATAATAATAATATATTTATTTAAATCTTCAAAGGTATTCAAAGGTACTACACACTATTCCGAAGTTGAATTTGTCTCAGTTTTTTAAAGTAGATTTGAAATTCAAGATAGCGCAATTATTGACGGTTATTTCAGAAACACGAATTTTTTTTTCAAAATTCTAAGACCCCTTAATACTTGTGTATTTGGTTGCCTTTACCGGGACATCCGATACTAACGAACAATATAAAAAATTAATTCGAACACTCCCAAATTTATTACGAAATTAACAAATAAAGATGTTATCTAAAAATAAAAACCTCCCAATCTGATCTTAACCTTCTACATAAATATTGTATAAACCAAAAGCTCGTTCTTAGCATTCAAAAGTGTAAAATTTTATTCTCTCGATTAGCTCCGCACACAGTTCCTGGGTTCATAGTTCTTGTTGCAAAAGTCTTGAAATTGGTAGGGCAATATTAATTATCAGTCCCATAACGCAATTAAACTTTAAGCTGACGGCACGTTTGTTTTAATATTATCAATAATATCATTAATCATTTCTTGTTCATCACTTTGGTTCCCATATTTATAGACCTACTTATAACACAGTTACATATAACAGTTATTTATTTATTATACTATATAAACTTATATTTATATATTATACTTTTATGGTAGGATTAGTTGTTGAAATATTTTTTTTGAGGCTGCTATAGCACCTGCATAGACATGTTCTTGTAGGGAGGAGATATCACGGCGATTTAACTCATTGATTGCTTATATATATTGAATGCATCTTTTTTTCCCTATTGGGTTAATAAAAGTTTAATTATATTATATTAAATATATTTTTTTAATATCTGTAACACCACTTTAGATGTTTTGATGAAATTTGGCGCTCATGTACTATGTGTCGAGAGACATTATTTAGTATACCACATTTTTACAAAAATTTTACCTATCTATTTTGGCACACGTTGATGCAGAGAAGAGGTTTTTATTTTTTGAAGAGGTTATATTTTAGAAAACTTTGCCAGCCTGTATCTCAAAAGTTAAGACGTTTAGGACTTATGTTTATATGAAGTTTTCTTTTTAAAATTGACCCGAAAATCGCCCCCCTAATTATTAAAATTCAATTAAGAAAACACCCTGTATATTTATAGGTATAAATAGTTTATGCGCATTCAACTAAAAGCACAATGCACAAAAAATAGTGAGATCTTGGCAATAACAAATATCGAAACTCGTACGGCAAAAAAAAGAAATCTCTTGCGAGTTGATGTCGATACCGAAGAATTGGGGCGCCCTGTATAGTCCAAAAATAAATAATCTACAAATTCCTTAAATAGAAAGAACTTTTTGTAGCTGTTACAGGATGTGAGAAAAATATATGGGTCCACCTTATGTGAAACCCCCTGTACCTGCAATTGTAATAAAAATTGTAATCTTGTGCTACCTCATTCGCTTCAGAAATGTTTAACAGGTAGCCTATTTTGCTAAGAAGTATAAGTAAATAAAAAGTTTACACTTACCCTCCTCATATCCGCCAAACTTTTAGGTTATGGTGCAGCAGTTAATACATGCAGAGCATTAAAGTGCCAAAATAAATCTAAGAAGCGAATGAAATGAAAGTGATCCGAAGTCGCCTCCAAATTACAACGAATAAGTACGAAACTATTTTTATTGAGAACGAACCATACAAAAATGCATTACAAGGCACTAATGTCACAGCTTAAAGTTACACTAAAATCGAATCGCTTATTTTAAAACACACGCAATAAATCTAAATTATACTAAAAACCTCAACTAAACAGACTAAATTTCTTTTATTAAATAAAATCCCATTAACTAAAATCCGCAGTGATGTTGGTGGCCGACTAAAAAAAAATCATCCAAATTAAAAATCGCTCATATCGTCGGCCATGTCGTCGGTTCTGGTCTGCCGGGTCGCTCGTTTGCCGCCAACATTGGTCGCTTTTTTAGCTCTTCCTTTCTTTTTGGCCGGCTTGGCCTCGAGCGGCATCAGAAATGGCTCCTCGTCATCGGAAAATTGAATCTCCACCAAGTTATTTTTCAACTCCAAACTTTCCGGAACTGTGGAATCGCTATCGGTAGGCGTTTCGTTGCTATCGGTTCTATCGTCCGTCGGCGAATTCTCTTGAGCATTACTTTGCATCACGGTAGCTATTAAAGTCTCATTCTTTATAGACTGCAAGGAAGCAAAAATATATGACTACGAATGGCGGCAGTCCTGACAAATCGATCGGATCGAAAATAATCGACTGGATCTCAAAGCTCTAAAGTTTATTTGGAAATCTCTCAAAGTCGTTAAATAAACCGTACTAACTAATTTAATAATAATTGAGAATTTAACAATGTAGATGTTAATACAAAAAACTCGTCGCTTCAAAAACAGGTTGCAGTTGTTCCACTGCCACCTGACAAAAAAAGTCTACGAAGACCACATTGATAATTACACAAAATTTGCGATTCAGTTACTACTCACTATAGACAATGGAACCTTGGCAAGAAGACAGTGCTTCTTTAATAAGTAGAAAGTTGCCATACGGCTGCATTTTACTGAAGACAAAATTGTTTGCTAGCTAAGATAACACTTACAAAAGATAAAGCAGTAGAATCTTGATGAGACGTGGATTACTGAGGGTTTAAATTGATACAGCACGATTGCTATTGTTCTGCTGCGGTCGATCGATGCCGTTGCCTAGTCAACTGGCGAATATCTTTCTCTCTCTTTTGGTTGATTTTTAATATTTTGTAACGTACTATTTTGATATCTCCAGGTAATTTGTACCAATACGGCTCATAAAAGGGGAAGTGCTTCGGGTTATTGTGATAGTGTGCCATTCTGAACTTAGGTTCACTCTACTGAAAAACTATAGTGAATCTATTCAAATATCGCGGCTAATTAAATCGAATCGAACCCATATAGACTCAAATAATATCAGAAAAAGACATTTTTGAAAAAAACTTGATGCATCCAACTTGCTGATGTTTCACAAATCATGATGTTGGCTTCTTTGCAACTTAACTTAATGGAAACAAGTTTGCAATCTACTGTGTGATTGTTTATATATGGTTATATGGTTGGGGGGGGGGGTTCTAAAGACGGGGCACGTTTAGCTCACTAATACTTCTCAAAAATAAAAACCCTAATTGATATCAAAAAGAGAGTTTATAAAAGCTGAGTGCTCACAAATGAGTCAGGAGATAAATATCTATATAAACAATACAACAAAGAGCTTAAAAAAACCCTAAAAGGAAACTAACAGCATTAATGTGATTCATAAAGAAGACGAAGTTGAGTGAAAGGAAACCGATTTAAATAAAACTATAATACTATTTACAAATCTTCTGGATTCCTCCTACCAATCAACCTGTCGACTTCTTCAGAGCTCGACTGAAACTAACCTGCATTCCACTTTGTAAATGCTTATAAGGGGTGTTTTTTTTTCGATGTATAGAACTTTAAGTTGCAATAAAACAACGATGGATCATTCGATTGACATGAATTTTATTTATCCGAAAGATAATCTTGTGGCATTACATTTTAAATATGATTTCTGGCATATGACCGCCACGGCTGGCGCGTCCAATCTGGACGTTCAATTTTCGATGACTTTTTCCAACATTTGTGGCCGTATATCGGCAATAACACGGCGAATGTTGTCTTCCAAATGGTCAAGCGTTTGTGGCTTATCCGCATAGACCAATGACTTTACATAGCCCCACAGATAGCAGTCTAGCGGTGTTAAATCACAAGATCTTCGAGGCCAATTCACAGGTCCAAAGTATAAAATTAGTCGATCACCAAACGGGTCTTTCAATAAATCGATTGCGGCACGAGCTGTGTGACATGTTACGCCGTCTTGTTGAAACTACATCTCGTGGGCATCATGGTTATTCAATTCAGGAATGAAAGAGTTAGTAATCATAGCTCTATATCAATCACCATTGACTGTAAC